GAGACTAATGATGGCCAAGAGTGACCCGGAATGACCCGAGATGACTCAGGTCATTTGCGGGATGACTGGTACCAACGTGGGCAAGTCTCGTAGGCACTGGACTATCCAGTCAGCACAGCGCACACGCGGAGTGTCCAATGTCCATATATGGTAACGAGTAACGACCATCACCGAACGTGACCAAAGGTGACCAGAGGGGAGTCGAGGGGCAAATCGAAGATCTGGAGCGAATCGAGGCACAGTGAATGCTGAGAGACATCAGCTGTGCAGACATCAGACACCAGACATGCAAGTATGACCGGCCATGCAGTTATAGCATAGTAGCGAGCAGCAGCTATGATAGAGTCGAACATATTGATCTACTTCTCCGAAACGAGATAGCCCACGTCGACACGAAGCACTCATCATCACAACACCTGCAGAGTTGCGGGGTGGAGACCAAACCCAGAACACTGCAGACCCTTCTACGGCTAACTAGGGTCCAGTGTGGGACTCCTGCTGTGCTACATTCACCAAGTGTGACGGAATGATTCACGCGATCAAGGTCGGGGCCATTAGTATGCAGATCGGTCCCTGAACTGGAGGTCGTGTGCAGTCTGCAGTTGCCAACCGCCCCAGACGACAAATTCGCGATAGGTACCGATTAGTGCATTAGTTAACTTTATCGCATCGTAGCGCGATAAGACTGAATTGCATTAGTTATATGTCGCAGCGTAATGGATAATGATTAACGATAAATGATGGTTGACAAGTGGTGAGGCGAATACTAAAGAGTGGAATGCTATATTTTTGATCATGTGTGCATTGTGCATTGAGCACCGAGCTTCATCAACGGTAGTAGGCTGAAGTGCCTATGCCGATGCTTCTAAATACGCTTACAAAACCTGACATTATCCGTAGAGAAAGTTCTTACTGCTCTTCTTACTGCGTTACTTCACATTGATCTGGCCAACCAGAAAAATTCAATCTTTGGGTGACCCAATGAAGTCTGACCATCCAGCAATTTTTCCATGACCTTCGTGACCTGGTTTGCAATTGGTCAAGTCAAGACACTGGAAGGACCTTGGCCTGTAAATGACCTCATGCCATCTTGCATTAATTCCAAAATTCTACCAGCATTTCATCTCCATCCAAAGTTCGTACCGTACCACGACCTTTGACCTGTCGTTGACCTTGACCTTTGTGTCGACAGGAGCTACTATCCGGTGACGGTACAGCGGTGGGTCACCTGTCTGGTATATGACCTTTGACCTGTCGTTGACCTTGACCTCTATGGCGGCAGGAACTACTGTCCAGTCACGGTGCAGCGGCGGGTCACCTGTCTGGTACATGACCTTTGACCTGTCGTTGACCTTGACCCCTATGGCGGCAGGAACTACTGCCCGGTGTCTGTACAGCGGCGGGTCACCTGTCTGGTACATGACCTTTGACCTGTCGTTGACCTTGACCCCTATGGCGGCAGGAACTACTGCCCGGTGACTGTACAGCGGCGGGTCACCTGTCTGGTACAGAACGGCACGGAGGAGTACAGTGCTTCCGACTACTCAAAGTGTTACCGCACCGGAAACTGGAACGACTGCCAGTTCGATGTGTGAGTATATATAACGACTGTCAGATCACTGTATGAATTGAGTCCAGTGTAAATGATTTTCAACCGTTGTTACCTTGCGTGACCATCTACATGACACACTGTACGTCGTCAAGGCCTCACGGGCGTCACTCAGATTTTGTGTCATGCTTGTGTTACAGAAGAACGCTCTCCTGAATGACTAATTTGTTCGTTTCAGGAAGCGGCGTCGACCGCGGTACGTCACCTCCTATAAGATGGTGAATGAGATGCAGTACAAGTGCTGTCCAGGCTTCGAGGGACGGCACTGCAATGATGGTAAGATAACGAGGCATATTTTGGTCAGTCTTGCGGCTAAATTCATAGAAATCACACAAACTCGGAAGGGAAGACTGGCATGGTGGCGATACTTCAATATCTCAAGTATTGTATGGGAAGGGTGCTTGACGATTTTTTTTAGGACTACTGGTAAACTGTCGTACAGGCATCGTTTCGCAAAAAAAAACAAAATAATAATAATGTGGCGGTCACACCTACCGGCCGAGCGCCGCGCGGGCCCGGCAGTTTACTGCGAGTCGTCAAGGTGAGTGCGCGGAACGATAATAGTCTTTCAATGATCATGTAACGACCCAACCCTCTTCTCCCGGACAGCCTGCTTCACGTGTGAAGACTTCAGTGACACTCTTAGTCGACTGAAGACGCTCGAGGCCTTCGTCGGGATGAGGTCTCCCTCAGGCACCGCCAGCTCGGGCTTCCAAACGCGTAAGTATCTTTTTATTACGCTTCAGTCACGCATGACGTTACATACCGCAATGACAGGCATCTAATGCAGTGACTCTGATATGTTTAGTGATGCTATCAGTTACCAAAACGTTGAGATACGATAGCCAAATGTATTGATGCCGAGCTTTCGAACGTGGATGTCTGTAGCTGTCAATAAGTGAGCGGTGCCTTGTGAGTAAATCTGACGCGAGTTAGTCTCGTATTCGGGAAGCTCGTAGTTCAAGCCGCTCTTGTATGCAATCAGCGTTTTATGACCACTAAATACGACAACACGTACTGACCGACTAGCTGTGGCGGCCAAATAAAATACAGCTGATCGGTCCCCTATTGTGCGAGCCCGGCCATTGTCCTGATTTGGGACACACTCCTTCACCCAGTTCGGAACTGGGAGCGATTAAGTTTCATCGAGGGTGCCATAAACGCGTCTCGGCTCATTCCGGCGTATTTCCGTCAGTATTTATTGATACTTATCTCGGGAAGGGTGTCTGATATCTCCCAGTAGTGAGGATAGACGGCAGAGAGACGGAGAAAGGCGGCAGGAAGGCCATGAAGCGGCATTTTGTCTAGTTCGCCAGTTTCGTGCCACCTAGCCTGGATAGACGTGAAAGCAGATAACGACAACAAGTCAACTACCAAAACAACCCACGTTCTACTGCTCTGTCTACATCCAACTCATGTCTACATTCTACATCCAACAAAGTAACGTGTTCTGAATGTCCACAGCAGCGTATTCAACCAGCGGCGGTGGCGGCACTTCCGGCCTCGCTCCCGGAGAGGTGGCGGTGGGCGGACAGACGAGAGGGGACATCCCTGCCGAGGTGGATGACAGGCAGAGCAGCCGTCAGCCGGCCTGCGACTGTCCTCCGGGGCCGCCCGGACCTCCCGGAGAACCCGGAGAGCCCGGAGCCGACGGCCGAGACGGTCTGCCCGGAGCGCAGGGACCTCCCGGAGTACAGGGGCCGCCCGGAGTCCGGGGTGCTGAAGGCAGGACCGGCCAGCCGGGGCCGCCCGGTCTGCCCGGACCCAGAGGAGCGCCAGGTTGGTATAGCAGGTGGTTTGAAAGGCAGATTGCGTGAGGGTGATTTTTTTTTGATGAATGGATTGCGTAGATGCTGAGAAGAAGGATAGAAGATACGATTGCTGAAAACTGATTCAATTATTATTAAGCACGGAGAGATAAAGTACAGACCATCCCAAGTGCAAACCCACTGACTGCCGAGACCACGTTGACTGACTAAAGAAATGTAGAACCAACTGATCTGCGTCTCACTTGCGTATGGACTGCAGACGCCAGACCCCACTGCTTTGTGAACGTAGATCTCAGGCACTGGGTACAAAACTCGCTGACTGAGTGCACGCGTCCGGTCTCAGGTCCCGCCGGCGCCGGGACCGTATTACCGGCCGGAGCAGGAGCGGGAGAACCAGGACCAGAGGGACCAGAAGGACCCACGGGACCACCCGGTCCCACCGGACCCGAGGGGCCGCCCGGACCGCCAGGTCTACCCGGTGAGTGACTCTGGTAGGGTTAAGGCAGATGACACACTCCTAAAAGTAGAAAACATGACAAGATCGTGCTTCAACCATAACAACCATAAGAAAAATCATACATAATCAGGGGTGGAGCTTCCTATTCACTTGGTGGGGCGCCTGCCCCACCAACTTGCCATTTTGCCCCACCAATAAGCGCTTTGCCCCACCAACTTAAGCCGATTTGCAGGACTTTACTGCTTAGCAAACCTATGCTTTTCGCATTGAGGAGCTTTGAAATGTCTGTGTAATGCAAAATATTATCTCTGTAATGAAAAGAATTGATTCATTGTTGAATTTTATCTAACTTAACAATCGGACAATGTAGGTTTGACAACTTTTTGCCCCACCAACTTTCCTGGAAAAGCTCCACCCATGCATAATACATGTGCTTGTCAATGTCCCTTTTATGACCCTTCTATGCAAATAAGAAATCCGTCAGATGTCGAGCTTGCATGATGTATTGCTTTCCTCATTTGATGACATTGGTTATATCATCGATGAAAATGTAAAAAGGAAAACCGCCCATACGCCACGGTGAGCCGAAAATAAATCTATGCACCACGAGAACCACAAATTAACTTCTCAAACTTACATTCGCAGGTGCACCAGGTCTTCGGGGCCCGCCAGGCCCGCTGGGTCCCGAGGGCCCGGCCAGTTCGGCGGGCCCGCCCGGTCGAGACGGCCTCCCCGGCCTCCCCGGGGAGCGCGGGGCCCCGGGGGAGCCGGGGGTGGCCGGTCCCCCCGGCCCGCCCGGCCAGCCCGGTACGGCGGCAGCAGGTGAGGGAAGAGGTATGTTGAGAGACCTAAGTCGCATCTAAAGACAGGATGGGCCTTCAGGATCTGATATTGCTAACCCAGGACTCAGTATGCATTCAACTTCAGCTGTATTTCAATATTGTGCCAATGTTTGAACGCATTTTTGACAAAAGCTACGGTTGTCTTCCCCCCATTGTGAATGAGCGAGCGCCAAAAAAAAAGTTCATCGTGTGGGACAAAGCCATCCACGTCCGACCATTCATACCTGGACTCCGCTAGCTTCAACCGTCCCCACACCAACACGTTTTGCCACCGCTCATATAACATTCCGAATATCCCCCCATGTTGCAGCGGATGCACAAAGCGCCTTAGAAGCTGAACAAACTCGGGCGGAGGTGGCCAGTCTTCGTCAGCAGATACAGACGCTACAGTCACAGATCGACCAGCTGCAGGGTAAGACAGACTCTTCTCCTCTGGGCCCAGAAAACACCAGACTAGGTGAAGATGCATAGATTTTAGAAGGTTATCAGACTAGCTAAAATGTCTATGAACATTGAACAAGGCTTATAGTTGAGATGAGGCGAATGGCGATATGCAGCCAACTCGGATGCATAATATAAGGATGAAAATGAAATCCTTGCACACAAACAAATAAGTCACAAAAGTACGAAATTCAGAGCTGACCGAAAACATTAAAATCATTTGAAATATCGTGGTTTTAAGTCTAGCAGATCGTCCATGTAATACCTTGTGTTCCCGAAATTTTATTTGTCCCCTTCACCCCCACGTCCCATTCTCTCGTCCAGAATCGGTGCGCACGCTGGCCGATCTGACCAGCGGGGGCGGCAGTCCGATCGGCACCGTGCCCGAATCAGACGACGAGGACCTGGCCGGCGCCGGCAGCGGACAGTTCGGCTACTACGACGACTACGAGGACTACAACTTCGACGACTACGACTACGACTACAGCAGCGAGCAGCGCCGGCGGAGAAAGAAACGACAGCACAGGGGACTAAAGACGGCACCGCGGGGAAGAAAAGACACTTCCGGCAGCGCCTCTAGACGCGCCCTAAACTCGGTGCGGGTTAGGAATGCTCTACGCAGAGGAAAACTAGGCAGGAGGGGAGCTAAGGCGTAATAACAACGGAACAATGTGAGAACCTTCTCGTATCTGCGTCGTCGCGAAGTGGACTGCTCGTGTGCGGTAACCGATGTCTCAACTCACTGCCAATTCGACTGCATTGCGTCAGTCGATCCCCACTCCTCTTTCGTCAGTGGAAGTAAAAAATGGCTAACCCATTGTTTTTATACACGATTTACCCACTTCATTGTATTTTGGCAAATAATGATAATGATATGATGATGATGAGGTGAATCTTTACAAAATATGATCACACCCAAACGAGAACACGGTCACGCAATAATCAAAATGTCACACTCACGGCGCGCCCCCGTCACGACGTCACGCTGACCGTTGGTGTTTTCTGCGTCCGCGCCCTCTGCGCCGCTATTGCTCGGAAACACTCCAGACTGCAGAGGGGGACTCCAGTCACCGAGCAGCTGTATCGGCGCGGCTTGGAGCAGCCGGCCACACCGCACAGTCGTGGCTTCGGCGGCGCCCTGTGAAAGCAGGGGAGGATGGGGTCAGATAGCGAACCGACGCAGGCAGTGGGAAAGGGAAGAAAGATTGAGAGGACAGCGACAAAAAGAAAACGGAGGCAAGGATGCAAATATAATGGAATCAAGCAAACAGGCATGATCAAACGCATAATATTAGACGCATGAAAGTCGAAGTATGGTTTAGATTTAAGCTTATGTAATTGATGTCAGCAAACAGGCATTGAATCATCGCAGGCAAGCCAATAAAAAGAATGTACAGCCTTCTCGCTAAGTCGCTACCATCACGCAGTCACAAAGCTCCACAGCGCGTCCCACCTGGGAGGCTGAGCGGAGATCGGGGCGGCCACTCCGACCGGTAGGCGCAGCTCGGACCCAGTCACAGTTTGTCGGTACACGATGGCAGGAACGGCAGCGGCAGCGGCGGCAGCAGCCTTGGCTTTAGCGGCGCCGCGGCCAGCCCGAGACTCGGACTTGTTCAGCAGTCGACTGACGGTCTTTTTCTGCGGGTACGGAGTACGAGTACGAGTGATAGCGGTCAGTGATAGTACGAGAACCGGTAGGTCAAGCAAGCTCAACACTTCTACTTTTACCTAGCAGTTCGATAATATCTCGCCAACGCAGCTAACTGAGTTCAGATGACGTTAAAAACATAATACAACTACGTAGGTATAGTGTGCAAACACAAACAGTTTCCAGCTGTTATCAAACAGATGCTTAGAAATTCTCAACGCGAAACAATACATGATAAAGGCGTACCGTAAAACGGGGTGTTGACAGTTTTGAGGTGTTTTGTTATATAACTCAAGAAGGGTTGGAGATAGAAGCATCAAATTGTTAGCATTTTATGTGGAATTTGGTGCTTTACATGCCTGCCACATTAAAGTTTTTAAGATTTATGCCTGCATATTATTTTTTATTATTTTTCATCACTGTCCCTTAGCACCCCAATGTGGGGTGTTAAGGGACACCTATATTATTCCAAGAAATGGTCATCAAATGCCCACAATTGGGGTGTGGAAGGGCACATAATTGATTTATTGAAATGTTTTGCATATTCTGTCACAAAACAAGTCAGGTTCATTCACCACTAATGACCTTTTTAGCCAATTACGTGTAATGCTGTTTACGCTTGTGGAAAATGTGCTAATTATAAGGTAAACAGAGCCAAAAAGTAATCTTCTGTCATCAATAAAAACCCATGTTGAAGCTAGTCACTTGTCATTATGTTGCCCTCTTTGTTTTGGCCTTTTTATGATGACATCACATTTACCTACATCAGTCTCCATTGACCCATCATTGTAAAAGAGAGTGTTGAGATGTTTTGTTACATAACTTAAGATGTGTTAGAGATAAAAGCATGAACTTGCCAGCATTTTATGTGGAATTTGGTGTTTTCCATGCCTACTGAAAGACAACTTGATTTAACTATATGTATTTAGATTTTGTTTTTTTATTTTTTCTTCCCTGTCCCTTAGCACCCCACATCCACCTCAAAATATGCATGTATCCGGAAAAGAGGAAGAGGATGATGAATGAATGGGTGGATTTGTATAAGTTTTTCAGGAAACATGTGCAATACATGTGACAATACACCTATGCATTCATTTTCCCTGTACATCCACTAGTTTATGTGGTACACACAGAGTTTTGGAGATGTTTCAATTTTGTGAAAATGTAGCATGATTTTCAAATCCATTTTTGAACCAAATCACTTGCATGAAAAACCATAGCATTTTGTCCTATGGTCAAGAGCAAAACAGTGTCAACTACCACACTGAAGGTTTTATTGAACCTTCTCAAATTAGGAAGTTAATATGACTCAAAGTTTTTCCCATGCAACTGTCCCTTAACACCCCCACTGTCCCTTAACACCCCATTTTACGGTAATCTATCGATAAACATCGCGACTACAAAAACGATTTGAAGAAACAACGAAGTTCGCTGAAACAAATGAGAAGGTACCTTTTCTTCTTCTCGATGCTTTTTGGCCTGTTCTCGACGTCGTTCGGTTTTCTTTTTGTGTCTTTCCACCATCTCCGCCGTCATCTCAGTTTTCTCTCGGTAACCTGTGGAAAACCAAGACATCGAAAAGAAAATATAGACATAATAAATTGCATAGTAAAATACTACCATTGCATCCTCAAAGCCAACGATCCAATGCAAAAAAATCGTAACATTGCTTCTTTACATCAAACACCAACGTTGCCGACTTTCTCCACTTATCAAGCTCCCAGCCCCTCCACTCCGTCGCCGTCTTACCGGAGGGCAGCGCCAGCAGCGGCTCCGCCGGAAAGCTCTCCATGCTGTCATCGCCGGAGCGTTTGTCGAGCAGGGCCCTTTGACGGGCGGTCATCAGCAGCGGGTTCCGCATCTTCTTCAGCTCATCATCCACCTGTTACCAAGAGGCGTGAATGTACATAGGCCGAGCGGTGAAGGACGGCCAAGTGACACAATCACATACCTAAGTAGTCATCTTCTTGAGTAAAGACAATCAAATAAACATTTAACGAATGGCGGATGATACCGCTGCCGGCAGCGGTCGTTTCACGGTTACGTTCTCAATTATCATTCTAAACACATCGAGCTTCCAATATAAGCCGAAAAGTAAGCAAAATGAATCTCAATTTTTAAATTGGCAACAGCTATTTGTGCCGATAATGGCTTTCCACAAGGACCCGCCGATAGAGCAAAGTCTTAAGCCGGCTACAGTCCCCAAATCCCACTGCTAAATAGTAGCACATGAGTCCAACCGATGATCTCTCACCTGCTCGAGGTTGCCCTCCTCTAGAGCGTCCAGCCAGCGTTCTTCCTCGCTGTCTGGATCAGCACCTTTCTTCTTTTTCTTGCCGCTAGTACCTGGCCGAGACTGACCTGCCAAGTCCAGGCTGCCAAACACACGGGCAATTTATGAAAACAAACCATAAAGGGACATTGAATATAGATTGCTTTTAAACATGAGTTTAGGATTAATGTGATTTGATAGCTTTTACTCATACAAAAGCATGGAAATATAGGAAAAACATGGAAAATGGGACAACAAACTGGCCATTATTGGAAAACAACAAAAATGCCAGGCTAACTTTGAAATCTGGGAGTGTAGTGTGTAAGCAATTGGATGTAGGTATGTCATGAGATACCCGCTCACCCTTGTGGCTCAGGGCTTGTCCTAAAGCTTCTCTTGAGTTTTGGTTTTGATGTTGATGGCTCTGCATCATCCAGGCTTGAATGTTTTCCATAGGCAGGCTGATACTTTGGCTGTTCAGCCCTGGGTGGTGTCAATGTCTCCAACTGCTCTGCTGGTGTGTCTGTGAAAAATCACAATCAGTGACAAACCACAGTTTAGACAATCAACCCATCAACCTCAGCTAAAAGTCCAGTCAAAGTGAATGATTTCACTGGCTTGAGATAACTAGTCTAAGATTATTTCTGGTGCCAAAAGATAGTAAATCTAATTGGGTATTCTCTTAGCAGACGTCACCCGAGCTGCCATATCCAGTTAGGTAGGTTGGTGGGTTGTGGGTTGAAGGTTGGTAGGTTAGGTTTTAACCCTCGCCGGCACAGGGGGGGGGGGTGATGCAACCCCCCCCCCCTACGGTTTTTCGCGAATAACTCGCGTAAAAAGCGGCCGATCGCGACGAAACTTTCAGTACCCTCGCATTGATCAATTTTACACATACCCTAAAATTTTCATGACCCTGACCCCAATGACCTTTGACGTGTGACCTCTTTTCCGTGACCATGTTTGGCCGAAATCGCGACTCGGCGTACCTATGTCGGCTCGCATTAGCCGCGCGTTTGCAAGCTTTTCGTGGTTTCAAACGTTCAAACATGTGATTTGATGTTGCTCCCATGCATTAGGGTGGGTGTCAAGGTCACCTGAAGGTCAGGTCAGGTCATTGACCTTTGGTGACCTCGGTTCACTTTTTCAAGTTTACATGTTTCTACGCTAGTTTTTTAAGCTGAATTCGAATTTAGCAACCATTTGAACATTTACGAAGTAGTTTTGGTGCCTTAGTAACATGTTATGAAGCTGTCAGAGGCGGATGACAGGTACTACAAATACCCGTTACAACCCCTACCGGTTGACCTGACCTGACCCGACCTGGTCTAAATGCTTAACGGCATCATCTGTGATCAAAACTAACAAGATATTCGTGATCAGCACCCCGGAAAACCCCTTAGAAGCCACGCTTTACGACTTTCCAACAGGTCCCGATATTCCCGATTTTTGGGTCATTGACCTGACCTGGAAGGTCAACCGATGACCTAGGACCTTAAAATTGGATATCATTGGCTTCCTCTCATGACGGGCAACATGCTCGTTTTTTACGCAAAGCTTTAGCTCTATCAGGGGCCAAACGCGAGGGGGGGTCGTACCAACCCCCCTTGTGCCGTCGAAGGACTAAAAATAGCCTGTGGCGGCGAGGGTTAAGAAGGTATGTCATAAATATGATCAGACCAGTGACCATCAATGATACTCCAGTGGTTTCTCTGAGCTCTTGTCAGTGCTGACTGCTGAAGGTAATAAATATAGTAAAAAGAAGTTTTTATGACAAAACATAAAGATTACCTATCTACTTAAACTCACTTGACATCAACTGTACCTATTTTGATTTATAAAAAGCTGAACTTCTTTGATAGGTATCTCAATTTGGAGTGGCATTAAGTCGCAACATGACATGCCGATCTTACCAGATTCAATAAAGATGAAATCATCTTCATCAAATTCCATTGCTAAGGAGGCCGATCCGAACTTGACTACCTTATTTCGCTTATTAGCTAAAAAAAATGGGTATTAGCAAGGCCCTAAATACAGGTATTAGTAGAGCAGACGTCACAGACAGCTTCCAATACATCAACGACATCAACATGCATTAGAAATTAGAATGAATACCGGGGTCTTGCCGGTGTCAATATTCTCGATAGTCATGTTCTGGATAGGAAGCGTTTTCTGCGCACTGAAAAATATCAAACACAATTTTGATCATTTTATTAATCATTTTTAGCCATTTTTGCTGTTTTATTGAAAATTCTGGCATATTACAACAAAAAAAACATTGGAATAAGCTATAATATAATTGTTCAGTTAAAATTGAACAAAATGCATTACGATTATTTGATGGTATATGTCTTCGATCGCACGTAACGATAAGTGGAGAACAGCTTCAGGATTGTCATAAGCGCGCCGTTATCAAGTACACATAGAAAAATTTAGCTAAAACACTGCAAAATTCAAGGACAAAACTATTCGATCACCACCATTGCCACCATTCTAGCCATTCTATGACTAACTAAGGGAACCAGGCCGTGTCTGGCTTTCAAGTTCACGTTTAACTTTTGCATCCGAATTTTCCCGTTACCCAGAATGGCGCGATCGGACGGTAGGGGTCGGGGTGGGTCTAAGCAAAAAGGTCTGCTTAGGGTGTGCTCGGGCTCTGCCAATCCGTTTATTCAAACATTCGATCTAAATTTATTTCTAAAAATGGCTGCAATATGTGAAAACGCTCATATAACCTCCCAAAGTCACCGAGGTCACTTGAGGTCACCGTAACTGAAACGGCAGATGTAATGGCATTGGCATACTGATACGGCGAGTTGACCGGTGGTGTTTCCGTTTCGATCGGTCTCGTATATCTACTTCCTGAGCTATAGAATGGCTGCAATAGGCCAAATCGCCAAGTTGGCATTTCAAGGTCAACGAGGTCACCTAAGGTCACCATATCTGGGAGAGCTGATCAAATCGCACATTCTGATTCGAATGTTGCTATGATTTTCCTGCTCGGCCCAGTAATTCCTGAGTTATAGAAGTTATGAGTTATAACTGAGTTATCCCATGCAGCCTGTCAGCGAATTTCCAAGGCAGCATATAATGCTCTCTCGAGACACTCGTCTCTGGCATTCATTTGTGATGTTTGCCGACAGCGTCCAAACTTAAGTGACATCCAGGCAAAACCAGTCACAACTGATGTTTCAGTACAGGTCTTCCCAGATAAGCTTGAGCATCAGGACGACACACCAAAACAGACACGTGACGATGCAAACGCCTCACATGAGCGTCAAACCAAGGTTCCTGATTCTGTTTCTAGCCTTCAGGAAAGGATCCATGTGCTCGAGTCTTCTATCAAAGAACTGACTAGACTGGTAGGAGAGTCAAAAAAATCCATTGACATGATGCTCCAGGGACAGCAGCGACAGCAGCATGTGTCTCACCCCGTACTGCGCGGAACCTATGCTGAAGCAGTCAGGTCTCCATCTGAGATGCGCCCTCAGGTCCATGGAGACCCTCACCAGGCTGTCCTTGCTGGGGTCAACACTAGGGCCGGAAAGCCTCAATACACATCCACAAGCAACGACTACAGACATATTGTCAGGGCAGAACTGCGTGAAATGGAGGAGAGGAGGAAAAGAGTTTCCTCCCTCGTTGTACGGGGACTGAGAGCGGGCACAGCTAGAGAGGCAGTGACTAGGTTTACAGAAATCGCCTCCGCTCTGATAGGGGAACAGGTTGAGTTCACAGAAGTTTGCCGGATCAAAAGCGATGGTGACCTGTATAGGGGCAACGTTCACGACGGCAGAATTCGGAAGCTCATTTTGGATAATGCAAAACATCTTCGTGAGTCTTCGAACTCGCATGTCTTCATTCGTCGTGACCTCACGTTCCAGCAACGAGAGGAGCTCAGGGAACGCCAGAGCTCTAGACCACACGTCTGGGTACAGTCCAGGTCTCAGAATGCAACTTCTCACTGGCAGATTGGCCAAACACGACACACACCCGAGGCAGACACTTCCCACTCTTATCATGAAACTGTTCCTAAGCAGGTGGCATCTTACCATGAAACTGTTCCCAAGCAGGTGGTACCTGCTCTTAACCCGACACTGGAGTCCGCTCAGTCTCCTCGTGTTGTGACAGCCCCGGATGCTCACCCTCCGGCTGACAGCGCTGGGGGGAGGGGAGACGGCCAGCACGTCCCCAGCTCTCCCCAGGGGCCCGGGGAGGGAAACTGATACGAGGCAGAGGTACTCCACGGACGTTTCGCCTACAACTAGTGCATTGCAATGTAAACGGCATTTGTAGCAAGCTTCCAATCATTCGTGAATCTCTGGTAGACTCGTTTAGACCTGGCATTCTATTGATCACAGAGTCCCACCTTACCCCTTCTGTGTCTAATGCAACTGTCTCCATCCCTGGCTATGAGCTACTGCGAAACGACTCTGGTGCCACATCTAAGCATGACGTTTGCGCTTTTGTGGAAGAGGCCTTGAGATTTGATGAAGTAGATACAACACACCCTAACTGCCTGTCATTTAGACTGAGAAAGATGAACGTTCACATTTACGTGGTGTATCGACCCCCGTCATACTCTTCTTGCGAGAACCAGGCTTTAACTGATTTTCTTTTGACTAGTTGCACTGGAAAGGAAGTAGTCATTCTCGGAGATTTTAACCTCCCCTCGGTTGCCTGGGCTGACCATAAACCCTTTGGGCAATTCTCAGCAGCTGATCGGACATTTGTTGACATGTTCATTGCCCTCGGACTTACGCAGTGGATACATGAGACCACGTTCCCGAGGTCTGGCAACGTTCTAGATCTTATTCTAACCTCCGAGCAGGACAGGATAACTACAGTACAAGTGCAGCCTCCCCCACCCGGATGCGATCACTGTAGTATTCACTGTGAGTATGTATTTGACATGGACATTCAGTTACACTCGCAACAACTCCTGAGACACCAGTGGCATCGAGGACAGTATAGTGCTATCAATGCATCTCTCAGCACTGTTGACTGGGACTTTGAGCTCAGACATATCTCCGCGCAAGACGCTTTTATTAAGCTGCTGTCTATCTTAGAGCCCCTCGTTGACCAATTCATTCCGCGAGCCGGTCAGGGTGGTGGGCAGCGGAAGATCCCCTGGAAGGCGAATCCCCCATCGTCGCTGAAACGTCTGCGAAAGGAGGCTTGGGAAAAATACAAAAGCCTTAGGTCAGAACATGGTAGGAAGTCGCATCTGACCACCCTGGCGCTGGAAGGTTTTCAGCTGAGGCCAACTCGCAACTTAGATCATTTGCCGCATCATCGCAAATTGAGTACGAGAAATCACTCATAGCAAGGTCTAGAGATAATCCCAAGCTGCTACACTCTTACATTAGACACAAGAAGCAGCTTCGCTCTTCAGTTGGTCCTCTTCGTCTTGACCCTGTCACCCTGATACCATATCTGACGACCCCAAGGAGATGGCTGACTGCTTTTTGGATGTGCTTACTGGCATACACGCTACGACGATTCCAGATAAACCAGCTGCTCACCAGCGAAGTGATACTGTCATGGCTGACATTGACATTGGCCTAATTGACGTACATTCTACACTCAGTAACCTTGATCCGAACTCAGCAATGGGCCAGGACGGCTTGCACCCAGCCCTGCTTAAGGCATGTGCTGCAACTTTATGCACACCACTTCTCATGATTTACAGGCAGTCTCTTCTGGAGGGAGCGCTGCCCTCGGCGTGGAAATCTTCGCTCGTCGTACCGATATTTAAGAAGGGTTCTCGTAACGACCCAATGAACTACAGACCAGTATCGCTCACGTCTGTATCTTGCAAAAGTCTTGAAAGGATAATTTCCAAAGAGCTCTACGCATTCTTCATTGCAAATCAGATCCTCAGTGACGAACAGTTCGGCTTTCGTCCAGGACGATCCATGGAAGACCAGCTACTCCTGACCTACGATGAGGTAACTGTAGCCTTGGATCTGGGTCATCCCGTTGATCTAGTCCTGTTCGACTTTTCAAAGGCTTTTGATGTGGTGCGCCATACCATTCTGCTAGAAAAACTCCGGTTAGTCGGTGTCCAAGGGCGACTTATCACATGGCTGACAGATTTCTTGGTGGGGCGTACGATGCAGGTTCTTGTTAAGGGCACCACGAGCTCAGCTGCGGAGGTTCGGAGTGGCGTTCCTCAAGGATCGGTTTTAGGACCCATTCTCTTTCTGGTTTACATCAACCACGTTGCGTCCAGTTTGTCGTGCAGTTATAAGATCTTTGCTGACGATCTTAAAGTATTTATCAAATTAGACAACGATAAACACAACACTAGTGAAGAGGCACTACAAAAGGATATAGACTTGCTCCACTCTACGGCAGAGTCTTGGGGTCTCAGCATGAACCTCAGGAAGTGTGCCGTCATACGATTTAGGCGACGATTCCATGACTTCGAGCCCGGGGCATACACACTGGCTGGTGACACAATTCCCTGCGTTACGTCATGTAGTGACCTGGGTGTTATCATCGACAACGAGATGAAATTCCATGAACACTGTGCCAGCATAGCAGCGAAGGCTGGAGGAGTTGCTCACAATTTCTTGAAATCGACCAGGTGTCGCTCGCCTGACTTTATGACTCATATACTGAAATCTCACATTCGCCCCATTCTCGAGTACGCGTCACCGATCTGGAACAGTGGCTATGTACAGGATCTCAAAAGATTAGAGTCTGTTCAAAGGCTCTGGACTCGCAATGTGATTGGGCTCCGCAATATGGAATATGGTGATCGCCTAAAGGAACTTGACCTATTCTCTGTGAAGGGACGCCTCCTTCGAGCCGATATTATCAAATGCTGGAAGATTTTTCACGGCCACAGTCAGATATCCCCGGAGATCCTCTGGGATCTGGAGGCCGACAACAGAACGCGCGGGCATAGTAGAAAGATAAAAACGTGTCGGAGTCTCATAGATGCAAGGTCACGGTTTTTCACCCACAGAGTCGTGCGCGATTGGAATGCCCTCCCAGATTGGCTGGTGAACGAGGAGTCCCTGGTGCAGTTTAAAAAGGGACTGAAAGCCGCACTGGGAAGTAGATTGTTCGAACACACAGGATAAGAGAAGGCAAACGATTCACATCTCATCCTTCATCCCCCCCCCCCCCAGGTAAGCGCCCCACCCTTCCCAAGTTGGGGCGGGGTTATACGCGCCTGGGCTACCTATCATATTCCGCCCTTACCCCCTAGGTAGCTGCTGCCCGCCCTTCGCGAGCTGGACCGGGTGGACTAACCTAGGCTACCTATCCTGACCTTTCCTTCCGAGAACGTATCACATTTCGGTACCCTCTTTTCTCACTTACATAATTGATCATCTTGTCTAGGATTCTGGCACTTAAAACACGCACCAGTTTTCTTTTTTCAGTGTTTTACCAAATGCAGACGCACCATTCGAATTCCTTGCCTGAGGTCCAGCCATCTGCCCACCCAAGGAATTGGCGCGTCTCTGCACGCAATAGGTTTCCACTCCTTCCTTTACGAGCCGAGGTTGTGGAAACCTAACAGGTGAGTTTAACAGGTGAGTATGAAAACACCGGAGCCTGAGAAGACACTTTCGTTTTTTAAGTAAATGAGGCTCGGCAAGTTTTTTAAGGGCTTATTTTATAAAAAAAAAATTAAGTCGTTTGTTATATTTTTCTGTACATACAATTACACACCTTTATACAATTATATGAAATGACTTTAACTTTACAGTTTTATTTCGATGACGATGCGATACGATGTGATGGTTATCGGAAGTTTAGCCTTTGTATCGGCACCTCCTTGAGTTCTTAAACTTTAATCTTTTCTTTAAATTTTTAATTTTAACTTTAACTTTAACTTTCTTTTACTTTAAATTTTTAACTTTATTATGACACTAATAATTAGCTGCACTGAGTTTTTGATAGGAAGTTTACTGCGCCAGATATGCCTATATTTTGGGTTTTGTTGTGTGCATGCGCGCAAGCATTTGGTGTGTAAACTGAGTCACTATTTTTAGAATATTTAGAAACTTTGGATAAATCGTTGGTATATTTTCTTTTAAAATATCTTGCCATTTATCTACGTTCTAGAAAAGCAAAGGGTTGCGTGGCGGCATCAAAAGCATTTCAAAATTTACTGTGAAGTCTACCTTGGCTCATATTGATATTGATATAGCCTTGCTTGGCTCCCAGTGAATTTTTGGAGGTGGGTTTGAGACTTGAGACTGTCACTCATTGTAATTCATTTTGAGAAGAAGAATGCATTGTACTTTATTTTAGGTACAATCTCTCGATTATTTTGTAGTAAGTAAATTGAGAAATGTTTGATGAGAATTAAAAAAGTAGCCATTGTTCGGAATTTGAATGAATTCCAGCTGTGATTGATATTTTGATGGAATTTGGCAATTTTTCCAAGAATATCCTGTTATATGTACCTCTATCCCTACCCTGCTGAAACGCACCTGTCAACCCGTGATTTTTAATACTCAGGTTGAAGTGAAAAAATAAACCTCTGGTAGATTGGGGCATCGCATCACAATCAGCATTGCTGCACCTGCATCCAGGCTGAGATTGCAAGTGCAAAGCGTGACATTGGGTCTAGACTGTGCAAACTACACCAGCTGGAGTGATAAATCCACACGAGCCCACACAGCACAGGTATTCTGCGCAGCCTGCATGCAGTGAATATTGCAATTTGCATTCAATTTTTACCACCAAACCGGGATGTTTTAACGTTTGAAGTAAAAACATGCAGCATAGGGCTGATTATTTTCTGATGCACCCTCACAATAGCTAGTATGGTACAAAATAAGGGCATGTGCCCAGTTCAGCCACTACTCACTCTGACTCTGGGTCTGGGGCCCGGGCTAAATCCACACCGTGATACAGGAAATCCACATTGCACCACGCACCACCTCTGTGTGCCTACCTATGCACCAACAGGATCTCATCAAGATTGTCATGCTTTGCAGCCTGGATCAGCATTAATATAGTCTAATTTTTTTTTAATAAAGTTGCTGTTCATTACGCACACATAATATCCCAGTAAACATGACGACGTCGGCCCGACGTCGGTTCAACCTCGGCCCGACATCGGCTGGACGTCGGATATGCCCGCATGTTCCGACGTCCAGCCGAAGTCCAGCCGACGTCGAGCCGACGTCGGGCCGAGATCGTTTGCCGAGGTTGACGAGATCGTTTGTCGTTGGACCGACGGGCCGACGTCGGCATGTTTATTGGGACAACGCGCCAAAAATATCAACCGGCGGCGGGATTCGAGCCCCCCAGTCGCCGACGTCGGCATGATAACTGGGACAACACGCCAAAAGCATCAGCCGGCGATGGGATTCGAGCCCCATGTCATTCGAACACGAGGCTAGTGCGCTAACCACTACACCACGCAGCCAGCTAACGAACCTGGTTTGTTTTGTTGGGTTATGCCCTTTCGGTCTGACAAGACCATTTCAGAGCCGGAAGGATCATAGGATGGAGAGGGAGACATTGGTCTTCTTGGCGAGCACCCTGGGTCCAGTTCATATAGAGTCCCTGGTCCCATTGCTGTTACGTGACACTTATTGGAAAGGGCGACCCCACAATGGATTCATATAGCCACTCTTACACACCTGCACCGTTTCCAAAAGTGTCCCTTTGATAAGTGGCACTTTGGCAAAGTGACACTTGCCGACTGGCCTTTCTATATGAACTGGGCCCGGCCCTGGTGAGTTGCCGGGGCTGAGCCTGACCAGAGGATAGGCCGAGCAGCCCCCAAGCACTCACCGCACCCGGCTACGGGCGAGCTCGGCTTACGGGCAATTCCAAATGCATTTGGAATTGCCCATCCCAATTGCCCAAATGCATTTGGAACTTTATCCCATGGGATAAAGTTTCCCGTCCAGTCCGGATCAGGGGGTTGCGGCGTGGAGGAAGATTTGAGTTTCCTGAGGATATTTTGAATACAGAAGCTCTTTATGAAACATGAAACATGTATTTTATATGATCTTAACGGTCAAAACAGCGGCCGATGTCGGTCCGACGTCGCCCCGATGTCGGCCCGACGTCGGCTGGACCTCAGCAATTGATCTCGGTCCGACGTCGGCCCGACGTCGGCTGGACCTCGGCTGGACGTCGGAACATGCGGGCATATCCGACATCCAGCCGACGTCGTGCCGAGGTTGGACCGACGTCGGGCCGACGTCGGCATGCCGATGCCGAGTTGCCGACGTCACCCCGACGTCGGCCGACGTCGGCATGTTTACTGGGATGCCATCTCGTATGAGAGGGATTGGTACCTATGCATGCAGCGAGGTGTAATTTTGAGGTAGAATTATTTTACTTTGGACATGTTTTTCTTTCACAAATTTGGAGTGAAGGCCATTTTGTAATACCACACAACACACTGTTATTTAAATGAATGGCATTCTAATACTCAAATTGAATAGGTATTAAAAGGCTGTACAAATCCTATGATGAAGCCTTGTAAGTGCGGAATAGGTGGGCTGCTGAGTGCTGTGGCAGACAATAGCTGAAAATGGCCACCTCGCCAGGCACTAGCACTGGGAACAAAGGCCCAGATAAGTTTGTTAATAATTAATTGAGGTGTATTCAGACTTCTGGTGATTTTCTTAGTCATTTTAGAGAACATAATGGGTAGTTGTTAAGCATTGTGTATTTTTTCCACAATGTGGGTTTGTCTACAGGGTGACACAAAAAAAGCGGTCATCACCAAATTTCGAATAGCTTCGGAAGTTTTATTCAGATCATCACCAAACTTCGGCCACTTTAGGTCACACCTATGTAGCAGACATCCACCAAGTTTCAAGTCTTCACTACAAATACTTTTAGTACAGTGTGTGTTTTACGGACGCTCCACAATGTGCTCCAGGTGAGCGCCCCGGCGCTGCAGGGCGTAGGCACACCTGCATCCGGCGGGCAAAGTTGCCGATAACCCGATAAGAATAACGTTTCAGGGGTAGCACACCCCCTGAGCACTGTCTCCAGAGGCCATTGCACTCTGTAAAGTGCACAGCCATCGGGTTATCGACAACTTTGCCCGCCGGATGCAAGTGTGCCTACGCCCTGCAGCGCCGTGGCGCTCACCTGGAGCACATTGTGGAGCGTCAGTAAAACACACACTGTACTAAAAGTATTCGTAGTGAAGACTTGAAACTTGGTGGATGTATGCTACATAGGTGTGACCTTAAGTGGCCGAAGTTTGGTGATGATCTGAATAAAACTTCCGAAGTCATTCGAAATTTGGTGATGACCGTTTTTTTTTGTGTCACCCTGTACTTAAATTTTGCTTCTGCAATGCATTTGTCTGCTGTGCTGCAACAGTTATGGTGGATAATCAAACACCTGCAAAATTCTGCTCACATTTGTTTTTTAAAGAAACTAAAATATTGAAATATTGTACTGAAATGATTTCAATGGTTTTATTTGTAATTAACCTCATAACTTTGTGTTGAGAGGATGGATAGTTATTGTGTTTCATGTTAACGTGGATATTATGGTCCTGAGCCTACTTCTGTTTAAAATCCTGAACTGAAATTTGAATTGTGTTGTCAGTGACGTTTTTCTGGTAACCAACGCTAATCCATTGTTCCATTCGCTCCCGCAGGCAGCCATGTCGGGCAAGCTGCCGTTCGGCGCGGCGTCTGGCGGCAGCGATCGGAAGCCGAGCCGCGCGGCGGCGCCGCTAGCCGGCGCCACCTCCGCGGCGGTGGCTGCCAGTCCCAGCGGCGCCGGCTCCAACAACGAGCTGGCCGCTCTGTTCGAGTGCCCCGTGTGCTACGACTACGTGCTGCCGCCGATTCTGCAGTGCCAGAGCGGCCACCTGGTGTGCTCGTCATGCCGCAGCAAGCTCACCTGCTGCCCGACCTGCCGCGGCACCCTCGGTGAGCATCCCGGCTGGGATGGGGAGAGTTTGGTGGTGTGGGAGGGTAGGGTTTGGAGGGTGCTATGGTACAGTGGTTTTGTCAGGACTGAATAAGAGTACGCTTCCAGAAGCAGAGGTCTATTTATGGGTGTTTAAGCTATTTCCGCTACTCACAGGTGTCTGATTTAGTGCAAAGTTGTATAGTGATTTTCTGCAAAGAATGAAAGGAACAATGCATCGAGCAACGTTCTTGACATATTCTTGTGAGCGTTCTTCAGCCCCTCATATCTTCACACACTAGTTTCCTAATTCGTAACGCATCTTTCTAACACGTCCCTCCACCGGCAGGCAACATCCGCAACTTGGCGATGGAAAAGGTGGCCACGACGGTGATGTTTCCGTGCAAGTACGTGTCGTCGGGCTGCTCGGTGCTGCTGCTGCACACGGAGAAGGCCAACCACGAGGAGGCCTGCGAGTGCCGTCCGTACCAGTGTCCGTGTCCGGGCGCCAGCTGCAAGTGGCAGGGCAGTCTGGACCAGGTGATGAACCACCTCACCATGGCGCACAAGAGCATCACCACGCTGCAAGGTCAGTCGGGATGGGGAGAGGGTGGGAAAGAAAGGTTGATAGGCTCATGGGGAAGAAATGGGAGAATTTTTGGAACGAGCGTAGACGCGTCGAGGCTGATTATAATTAGCCTGGTTGATTGTTATAAAATGGTCAACCAGATAGGAAGTTTTATCAGGCTCTGCATTAGCTCTGAATTGTTTCTTTTATTCCACCCGAAATCAGTCGTGCAAGCGTCCACCGCCAGCTCATTGTTCAAACCGTAGCCCACCCAATGACTCGCCCCTCATTTCGCCCCAGGTGAGGACATTGTGTTCCTGGCGACTGACATCAACCTGCCCGGCGCGGTCGACTGGGTGATGATGCAGTCCTGCTACAACCACCACTTTATGCTGGTGCTGGAGAAGCAGGAGAAGTACGACGGCCACCAGCAGTTCTTCGCCATCGTGCAGCTCATCGGGTCACGGAAACAGGCGGAGAGCTTCGCCTACAGGTGCGTGTGGGGAGTGGGTGGAAGGGAGCGAGGGTATCCCACCCACATATGCTATATATTAACCATGCATATGATGCTCAGATGTAGACTTTTGTTATTTTGTTCATATTTGCCTTAATGAGTTTGTTGTCCTAAAAGAAAACGAAGCATTCATACAGGGTGGAAAGGAAAAAGGTATCACATTTTATTTGTGAATATCCCGAATACCATATAACATACACGACTCTGCATGAGGTCATTTTAGACAGAAAATCTGGGAGATTTTACTGATGCCATTTTCACATATGCTTGACCAAGATAACCCTACTACAGCATGTGCACGACCACAAGAGTCCTATTTTTTCGCCAGGCAAACGCTGATACGTTTTTGCACTTCGCGATCAGCTTTGTAGTATGTGACTGCTGAGATCTTGTGTATCTCTTGCTTGACTGCTTGTTTGCTGAGCTACAGCAGGGTTTAAGGGACACTCCTATGCACTTTTCCTTTCAAACAACCCGCACAAGAAAAACTGGGTGTCTCTAAACTCTTCAGTTATCTTCCGCATCGATTTTAGAGGGTTTCGCTCTTCAGTGGCCGTTACTTTTTCAATCACCTCTGTATTGTCTTTCGATTCTTGTCGACCGCTGTGAATCTTGTTTTGGCTTACAACTGAGCCTTCTTTAAAAAAAAAGTCTCACAGAGCCGAAGAATCGTTTTTCTCTTGGGCGTGTACCGAGACTTAAATTTGACTCGAAAGCGCCGCTGTATTTATTTCTATTGATTTTTTTAGAGAAGTAGACGCATACAAGCTTCACCTTTTGGTCCCCATTACATCCAAAAGTCAATTTAACATACCTAATCTCCCATGCTTTCTCTTTCGAATGATATACCTATACAATATTCACGCCCTTAATCAGAAATTGCAGCCGTTAGAAGCAAAACAAATGTGGCTCTTTCTTTCCACCCTGTATGCGATGGGTCAGGCTTTCAGTGTAGCATTTAAGTAGTTGTTCTCGTATTGACAAGTTACAACAGTCCTCACATGTGACCACACCTTTATCTGAAGTTGATGAGTAGATAAAGAACAAACGAACACGAAGATGACTTATCTAAAACTAGTTTGTGTAACCATTAGTGTTCAGCAGAGTGAAATGCTCTGTGAGAAATTGGACATGACAGCGACAGTGAAGAGGCGTGGCAGGTGACTGAACGGGAACTAGACGGGCTGTCTGGGCCGGAGCTAGTACGGAGCCACACCCGTCTGGGTCAGAGGGAGATTTGAGCCGCGCCTGTCTGGCCGTGGGCGTTGATGTTCAGTTTATGTTTTCAGAGTCTTCAACCTGTGGATAATGGTCACTAAGGACTAAGTAAAGGACGTGTTCCTGATAAAACTGTGTGGTGCTTTCTTCCCTTGTCATTTTTATCGGTATCTGTCTTATTATTTAACAACATTGCCCCGACAGGTTTGTAAAGGTGCCTTGCCGAACTGGCGTGTCTTTTGTCTTGAGATCGAGTGCCCAAGACTGGACGCTGAGCGATTGCGATCTTTTGGATTGCGTGGCCCCCAACTCTCTTTGAGAACATTTCTTCGCGACGACTCCCCTTTTCTCGATTCCTTTCGCCTCTTCGTTCATCACGGCCTCCGGGCTTCAGGTGATTTTTAACCCCCGACTTTGAGGAAGATTGGTTAGATATGGGCGCCATATAGCCTCGTTGCTGGTGCGCCCTAAAACACCAAATCATCATCATTTTGTCTTGAGTCATTACAAAGAGCATTCCCTATTCACCAGATATCCTCTTCCCTCTCTATCCCTAGGCTCTTCTATCCTCTCCCCCGTGACCTGTGTGTAAGTGACCGTCTGACTGACCTCACCCTGTCCCCCGCCCTCAGGCTGGAGCTGAACGGCCACCGGCGGAGACTGACCTGGGAGGCCACGCCTCGCTCCATCCACGAGGGCGTCTCCAGCGCCATCCTCAAGTCCGACTGCCTCGTGTTTGACACCAGCATAGCCCAGCTGTTTGCCGACAACGGAAACCTCGGCATCAACGTCACCATTTCCATGTGCTGAGCGGCCGCCGGACGCCGCGCGGCGCGCAGTGACAGACTCACAGACAGGACGCGTACAGAGCGCCGTCTGCTCTTGATGTGATATTGTGTGGGGTGGGGAGTGCGGTGGTGATGGCGGCGGCTCCCGAACGGCCGCCTCTGGTGCCTTGTCGAAGTGCAAAGGGAGGAAGATCTGGACTGGAGACGTGTCGCCACACGCCACCTGAAATGTGCGAACTCTGGTGAGAGCCGTTGGACTCGAGTGGGACTTTCCAGAGGTGTGTGGCTGGGCCGGGTGACGCTAGTAGTACAAACGTTCCAGTGTGGACAGGGAGCCGCTGGACGGCCGTTGTGACGGCGGCAGACGTGGCAGTTCCACGTCAGGGTCAGTTTAGGCAACGCCTCTCTGCTGCCAGCGGTGGACGCAGCAAAGTAAGACGAGCTTCGGGACGCGGGGTGTCCCGGGCTGGCTTTAGTGTTGGACAGGGTTTGTTCCTCTCGTCCAGTGGGGACGCGGCCTGGCTCCTCGCTCATTCCACCGGTGTCGCTGAGTTCCAGCCAGGGTTCCGCGCCCGGCCCCGGGGTCGCCCTGACGCGGCAGTGTGTGAATTTGGCGTGCCTGTGATTACCCGAGCTGTGTGGGAGTGAGAGACTGACGTCTACTGCCCGCGCGGTGGCGTTACGCTCGATGTGGTTAGCTCTCGCTACCCGAGGCACCAGACATGGAGACAAGACAGTGGCCACATCCGTCTGCCGCTGTCACCAATGGGGCTTTCCTCGGCTGCAGGTAGCGTTAGAAGTGGTGCGGATCACAGCAGCCATTCACAACCCGTGCGCCGAGGCGACTTCACCCAAACCGTGGTAAACGGGGTGTTCGTGACAGCCCGTCTCCTTGGGAGGCGGGTCGCTCGCCGCACCTTCTATCAGCTGACGGGGTCGTCACGGGGGTGACCGAGCGACCGTCACGGCGTCACGGTGGTGTTCCAGTGGCGCTACGACGGTGTGACGCTGGCGTCACGATAATGAAACGCCGGCGTTCGCCTCGTCCCTCGCCCTGCCCCGGCTATGTGTGGGTTGTGTGTTATTTGTGTGCGTTTTCCGGCACGGAGCTGCCTCACTGTGTGTGGTATCAGTGGGCTGGGGGTGTTACAGGGCACCGTTTTCAGTGTAATACCTGATGACCTCGTAAACCCGGGTGGCTTGGCTGGGATCGGAGCTGGTCCCCGCGAATCGGACGCTGGTAGCGCCACGTATCGGCTGTGCTGATACTGATACCAGGCCCGTGACTTTCCGCCACACCGGCTCGTCTGTGTTAGGGGTGGTCGCTGGTTTCCCGCCGTGACATCATACTCAGTGCACGGTTGCGTCGGCTCCCTGGGGGCACCAGGCGAGGCTAGGTCACTAGACATCGACGCGGGCGACCGGACCCTGGGAGAGGCTGGGTGGCTAGCTGGCGTCGTAGGGCATCAGTGTGTGTTTCATGCTACACGGGAAGGGGGAAGAGGCTAGGTCACCCCGGATGACTGGGATAGGCTAGGTCATCCGGCGTGGTCTGGCTGTCGCCCCACCCTATGCACGACGCTCAGCCGGCGAAAATATATGATGTCTTACCTGATATTTGTGTTTCGGTTGTTGGTTGGCAGTCCGAAAAATGCGGTGTGGCGATGAGGCAAACATGAAGGCAGTGCTTTTCTAGCTTTAAAATGGGGTTTTGCCACTTAGTGAATTACTTCTTTCACTTTGTGGTAATACGGAAACCGATGTGAAAGAGTCACCGCTGAAAGACCTTGGTCGATAATCGGAGACATCCGACAGCACGATTAAAGATGATCGGGCTAATTATCTACCGCCGCGCTGGTGAGGGCGCCTCATATGCTGATATAGGTACTAGAACATGAGGGCCATTAGAATGACAGAATAAAAAGTTAAACGGTGCCTCGTCTCTTTTTGGCGACATTTAGAAATAACTCTGAAGAATCGTGATTTCAGATTTTCCATTTCACGGCTACGTCTCCCTCTTCCTGTTCGTCGGCCCGTCCGTCCGTCCGTCTGTCTGTCTGTATAGCCGCACGTCCGTCTGTCAGTCTTTCCTGTTGAATCCATTTCTCTTCCCTCTCCCTCTCTGTTTTCTTTTGACACTGCCATCTTCCAACGGGTTCCATCCTCCATCGGTCCTTTCCTCCCCTCCCGCGAAGCGCTCCCCGTCCCTCTCTCTCCAGCTGGGCGGTCGTCGCGCGTCACAGCACCTGAATTCGCCGCCCGGGTGGTACCGAAAACACCCCGGATTGACCGCCTGGCGCGGCCACGGATTACCCGACAAAGCCGCTGCATGGGGCTCAAATCCCTGCACATCGCGGGGTGAGAAAGCCAATCAAGGTGGTCGGGTGTAAACTCCAAATCCTCAGGTAGATTTATGTACTTATGTAAGCCCGCGGTACAGTTCGTTTTTTTTTCTCTATCGGTTTTCACTTGGAGGTGTAACTGATGGATAGGGGGTATTGGCGGGTCAGCGTGATTTGCACGCGGGGATATCGCGAGTGCCAGGCATAGTTTCGCCGTGGAAGGGGTTAGCGTGTGAAGGCCGCTAAGCTCCCGCGGCGACCGAGCGGCGCCAGTCGCCGAGCTGAGATGGGTGACGGGACGTCCGCATTCGCCGAATACCGAATACGGTCAGGTATGTTCGGTTGATCGTCTGCCGCCAGGCGACAGAGCGTTGAAGTTGGGATGATTCAGCACTGACAGCGATCAGCGAACAATTTATTAAATTTATAAACGATTTATTTAATTGTTCATCACCGTTATCCTAGACGCGGCCGTCACCACAATACATGCCATCTCATTCTCATGATCCATCGAAAAGAGACGGAACGCCTTCCCTCATGTTAACGTTTCAGATCAGTTCCGAAACTTCCGAGCCATAAGGTGTTACCGTTTCGGAGTCTTGTGATGAAAAGCGTCCCTTATCAGCATCGCCGAGTCCTATCACCGAGAGCTCCCCTCGATTCTCGTCTCCCACGGGAGCGACGTAGTTCAGAAATGTGACAATACACACGTTTATTTATTCGGCATGGAATGTTATTTTTTGATGTTATGAAGAATATTAGCCGTTTTCACGACGGGCTATCCGGCGAATGCACCGAATTTGACCAAATCTGCACCTAATCTCTTATACAGCAAACATCTTCATTTTATGAATTTATTTCAGTGTTTTAATCGACGATGCTCCCTGATAATATGACAAAGCATGGCCGCATATAAGCAATTAGTGCAACCGTAGTTGATAGCTGCTAAGAGACACACTGGACCTAAGTTGACCAAATTCGCACCTAATCTGTACCAGATGTGCACCAAATGTGTACCAGATGGCCGTCGTTAAAACGGCTATTATGTGGTGCTATATATTTTTCAAATATATTTTTCGGCTTGAACGGTCAATGGAAGAACGAGTAACGGAAGCTGCGAGTTTTGAAGTAGGAAACGAAGGAATGATTAGATGGTGATTACTAAAATTGGTCACCTGTGATCTGACCTCTGTTATTTTTACACAGCGATTTTAATAGATAATGGGAGTGAATAAAGGAGTCGGTAACTCGTTTCTGTCGACAGTCCAGTATCGAACAATCACATAACACACCTTTGTTTAGATGCGACCAGGGTTGTATACGACTCAATCAATAGCAATCAATTCAATCACGACAAATTTGGGAAACCAATCAAATCAATCAAGTCAGAGCAGTTTTCGGGAATTGATTCAATCGACTCAAACGCGACAATGAAAGGAATCAATCAACTCAATCAAACGACTCAAACCAAGATATACATTAGGTTTTTTGCCCCACCAACTTGGAAAAGTGTCCATAGCAGTCTGGTGTACCTACCTACCTACCTACCTACCTACAAAAGAAACAAAAATATTGTCATTTAAAATTATAAATTGCCATGCCATTCAAAGTTTCTATGTAATAAGGAAGGATACCTAGTGATGGACAGGTGGATCATGATATTGAGGTTCAATGGGTAGAATTGGAGCAGAAGTTTCATTTAATGGGTGCAAAATAACCCAGTAGTTGACTTCAACAAACCCAAATCACCATCTTTCACCTAAAAGTTGTCAATTTAATTTTGGCCATATTCAAGCTAAGTCATCAGGCCATCTACCCCATGTAAAGCCCCCGTCTGTCTCTTATGTGAGTTATGCGGAGCTCTTCTGAATTGAACCCTGAACATAATGAACCTACAGGGTGTTTCACTAAAAGTGTCAAAAAGTAAATGCTTATTAAAGATATATAAAATATGCAAAGCACGTGGTTGCGCACGTGGCCTTGTTGCAAATTTTTGGACATTTATGCTTAAGCCATTTAAGATATATTTTACACTCATACGGAGCGAGGGCAGGAGGCCAAAGTTACTAGTCGTTTTTTATCCTTATACAGAACAAGAACAGGTTATTTACACCGCAACAGGAGCGGTGGATTACACTTACAGTTGGTGCTATCAGAAACATTGAAACCGTACGCCGACTTTTCAGGAAACGTTTCACTCTCTCACCTCGCTATGATCCAGATTATAAAAGCTTCAAATCGCTCCCTGAGAGGTTTAAAAGGGTTCCTTTGATGCCGGTTCCAGTCCAAAAAAAGGCGGGTCGCCCCCACCTCTCGGCGGAAATGGTTGAAAAGGTCAGGGTCTTTTTAGGGCCTTTTAAGATAACAAGAAGCTTATTTCAGCATCAGAAATAGCCAAGCCCTTACAAGTTATCAAAAACAACCACTGTAACGGCTGTAGCCACCAAGAACTGGCTGGAACAGAAGTTCTCGGGCCGAATAATCAGCTGCCTCACCGCCCGCCCCTGGCCAGCGCGAAGACCCGATCTGTCACCGCTTTACTTCTGGTTTTAGTCAGTAGCTCTCGCAGAGCTGAGGAAGACTCAAGTCGCATCACTTCGGGAGCTGAAGAGCACAATGCAAGGCTTTGCCGACAGTCTGGACGCTGAAGATGAAACGGGCTGTGAGGCACCTCCGGACACGTGCGGAAACGGTGCATCAAAAGAAGGGGCGGATATGTGGAATAGGTTTGAGTGACGGTGATATCATTTTTACATATTCAAATGTCCAACAATCGCGGATGAAATGATGTGCAAATGTCCTTAGAAAACATTGTTATTATGTGCATTAGGACCTTTTACTTTTTGACACTTTTAGTGAAACACCCTGTAGCTAGGTTTCATGCCACACTGACACCATATGAAAGTGTTGAAAATGTGCTACAAATTTGACAACTTCATTAGGTATGCTTTATGAAGACAGCAGGAAAGCAGGTAGGTACCTACTTACCTGCCTAGATGTGTCACTGCCACTGGCTACCAACAGTACCACCGAAGGTAGATAGGTTATATGTGAAGAATTCAAAACATTTTATTGCAATACAATTTGAAACTGTTAGGACTGGGGGATAGGGATGAGCATTAAAAATATATTTAAAAGGAAATGGAAAGGACAGGGACTCTGGAACCACAGGATAAGTTAAAGGGACCCTCCCACCTTAACATTAGATTTGAGTTGAGATAGCCAAAATGGGGTCCCTGGCTCACAATTACCGGTTTCGGCACTCACAACATCGAGAAATGCCTTAAATCGGAAATATTGAATTTCAAAATTGCAGCATTTTGATTCAGAGGGGCTAATGCTTAGGAATACCCCTCTGAATGTGTGACGTCAGCGCAAATATCTAACGATTTTTTAATGTTTGACTAAAACGTTTTGTAGCACGCGGTGGTATATGATATTTGCGCGCAACATCTGCCGCAAACGCCGCACTTCTAAAATAAAGTCGCTAGAAACAGCGGAGATCCCAAAAAAGTAAACAAAAGTAAAAGTCTAATATCTTGAAAACCGGTGAATATTTTTCGGTGAAATTTGGTAGATATTCGTTTTCGCTCTTTCTGAACCGAGCGACATCACTTTCATGCCAATTCATAAACTTTTTCGAAGGTGGGAGGGTCCCTTTAAGGAAAAAGGAAGTAGGAAGGAAAATTAAAACGCGAAAACGGCACGGTGCGACTGCGAAAAAACAAAGAAAACGTTTTGCCGATAAGTATGCTAAGCTTTTATAAATCCTTATTCTACGTCTTTTGATTTTTTGGTAAGATGACGTCATTGATTATCATGTAGTATGGTAGATCATCATAAAATAAATCGGTTGTACAACACCAATTTCGTTTTAATTATTCTTTCATTTGAAATAAAACCACTTAATAATATTCGGTAAAATATTTTAAGGAAAATGAAATATATTAAATATGTTATGCTTAGGCTCTCAGGAGAAAATGATCAACAAACGTTCTGCTGCAAATTAAACAATGCAGCAAATTAGCTATTAATTTACGTAAACGTAATTAGCGAGACGAAAACGACGCTTTTGTTTCAGTTATTTTTGTAGGGGTTTCAGATGTGAATTATTAATTAATCACACTTTATTAGTATATTGATATAGGGCCTTGCACTTTATCATCTGGATTAAAAAAGTTTCCTGCTGAGTGCAGAAAGGTAGGTAGGTGCATCGCCAGGTTCTATCACAGGATTGGAGCAGTTATTGCAGTTGAAAGTCAAAGTTGGCTGTTCATGTTTAGGCCCTGTTCTTTATTTGGCCATCTACCCCATATTGCAGTTGTGATGACAAGCAGTTTTCAGTGTAGTTTTGTGATCTTTGATGTCATCAATTGGTGTCATTGTTTTTCGTCAACTAAAACTTATTTAAACTTTCCATTCAATCGACTCAATCATACGAGTCACTCTAATTTTCGGGAATCAAATCAGTCAACCAGTCGCTAAAGTCAAATGAGTCAGTCAACCAGTCATCTCGAAAAGTCAATCGACTCAATCCAATCAACTCAAAATACGCGTTGAATCAAATCAATCAATTCAATCGACTTGATTGGTATACAACCCTGGATGCGACTATCCCACACAACCACTGGGTGGCCGTTTATTTCAATAATCGTCCTCCCGTAAGCTGATTCTGCGGTTAGCGGTATTCCATTCGATCTCTCCTCTATCCCTCTCTGGGGTGGTCTTCCCTCCCCACAGGTGATCCCACCGCCGCCCGGTCCGCCCCCGCCCCCGCCCCCGCCCGGCGGTGGTCCGGTCCGGGCGGCGGCGGCGGGATGCCACCCGCCGCCGCCGCCGCCGCCGCCGCCGGGGGGCGTCCTTGATTGGCGAGTCGGAGAGGCCGTCGGCCGGCGCCCTCAGTGGCGTCCAGCGCGGCGCCGAGGCACCACCGCCGCCGCAGTGTGACCATGTCGACCCCGCGCCCCAGCCGGCCGCGGCACCAGCCGCCGGCGCTGGCACCAGCCGTGCTGCTGGTGCTGATCCCTCTGCTGGCCGCCGCAGCACCAGAGCTGGCCGCCTCCTGGGAGTCGGTGCGCAACTGGAGCGTGCAGCCCGTGTGCGTGCCCATCCCGCAGAACATGTCGCTGTGCCGCGACATCGGCTACTCGCAGATGCGGCTGCCCAACCTGCTGCAGCACGAGAGTATGGCGGAGGTGGTGCAACAGTCGGCCACCTGGGTGTCGCTGCTCAACCTGCGCTGCCACCCGGACACCCAGCTGTTCCTGTGCTCGCTGTACGCGCCCATCTGCCTGGAGAGCGAGATCCTGCCGTGTCGCAGCCTCTGTCAGAACGTGGAGCGGGGCTGCGCGGGGAGAATGGCAGAGTACGGCTACCCGTGGCCTGACATTGTGCGCTGCGACAAATTCGCAGAGGATAACGACATGTGCATCAAGCCGCAGGCAGACAGGAAGACCACGACAGGTGAGTCCGGCGCGGTCGGAACGTGGTACCGGTATGCGCCGGTATGTTCTTGTTGCCACTGCTCACATGCGGGATGGTAATGAACGGTGTAACATTTGGAAGGCGATGGGCTGGAGACGGTATCTATAGAGCGTTGAGATAATGCGAGCGCTGTGGGATTTAATTATACCTTATCACTTGGGTATTTAGGTCAAAGTGAGACTGTGAATAATTAAACATAAGATATGTGATGTTCAGCAAGCTTGTGTAACATTGATCATGTCTAGTTTCCCCGTTTTGTATCCTATACCTACTCGAACAGTCACGTAATTCGCCCGTGTATATAAAAAGACGATTATGCACGTTGATATACCCACTTTTACTCACCAGCCTCAAACACATTTATATGTCTTTGTCGGGTTTTATCACTCCCCGTGTCCGCTAAGCTCGACTTACTCGACTTTTCCTAAACATTTCATACGCATGTAGACCTTATTCAGTGGGTGAACGCCACGCCGCCCGGAAGCAGATGACATCCGATATGACGTACGACTGATGAGTGGGCCATGTCCGACTCCCTGACGTTATAAAGATGGTGCCGTAGCGATAAACGGTGCCCCGCGTGCATGCTAAGTGGGGAAAACGCACGTCGGGCGCCGGCAAAAGAACGATGGCCTGCCCGGTGTTGGCCATCTTGAACTAGCGAGGTGGCCATGCGAGATGATAGATAATGCAGGGCCACGTCGTGATAAATATGGACGATGTGCTAACGGACGTCACAACCACTTCTGGTTTTAGTACGCCGGTTGAATACGGAAAGGGAGAGGAGAGAGAAGAAGAGCGAGAGAGCGAGAGAGAGAGAGAGGGGGGAGAGAAAGAAAGAGAGAGAGAGAGGGGGGAGGAAGAGATACTGGAGAGAAAGGGTGGAAACGAGAGGGGGAGTAGGAAGAAAAAGAAGCGCAGAGAAAGAATGAAGAATTTAAGTGAATATTTAATTACAATTACCGTCCATACTCTGTTGAACACATAGCGTTAATTTTGGCATTTTCCTCGCCACGGGATGGCGAGCACGCTCGTTTGTTTTTACCAAAGATCAGTTTGCAGCGAAACGGCTAAAGCAGTCGCTACTGCAATTCTTAGCCGGGGAGTTAGGAAATAGGAATATACCTAAAGCCTTTCCTTACCTTAGTAAACACAAAAGAAACCCAAATTGCCCGTGCCTAGTTGTACCACAGGCAACTTCAAACGGGACGTAAAAGCATCTTTTTTCATACTGTGTGGCCAAATATTGTATTTCTGATTGACGTAAGGAAGTATTTTAATGCTTACATTAGCCTGACATTAGCCATTTAAACCTCCACCACCAATAAAAAGTTTCCGGCGAAAGGCGTATTCACAAGGGCTCCGGAAATAGACGAAAAGGATCAGACGAAAAGGACCGGAAATAGACGAAAAGTTACAATGAACCCCAAAAGTGCAGGCGACTGTTGTGCACAAGGGACATGTGATACATAATTTCAGGGCAAATGAATTGTCGGGATTGCACATCGGGCAATCTACGTCCGTTCTTTGCTCCTCTTCCCTCATTCAGCCCCATTCCAAGACGTGTTGGGATCGTCGAGCAATTACAGGCTAGCGCTGAGCAGCGAGCATCGTTCAGCAGCGATCGCCTCCGATCCTCGACACTACAGAGCCCGGTGAGCGGCGCTGCAGCAGCTGACGTGGGAACCGGTTTAGTGCTCAGCGGCGTGAGGCAGATCGACAACCTGCTCTCGCACCGTCTTCTCTCCTTTCTGTATTTTCCGACCCTTTCCGCATCACCGCTACTGTTTCCCTGTTTGTTATTCTCTGTCTCTGTCTCTCTGTCTCTCTCTGTCTGTCTGGCTCTCTCTCTCTTTCTCTCTCTCCCTCTCTCTCTCTCTCTCTCTCTCTCTCTCTCAGTGGCGGATCCAGGGGGGGGGGGGGGAAATGGGCATTTGCCTCCCCCCAAACGGCATAATTTTAACACTACGCCTATGGACGATGCATGGAAAGAATCAATAAATTGTTATGGTTTGCCCCCCCCCCAAAAAAAAACTCTGAGCTGGATCCGCCTCTGCAGTCTCTCTCTCCTTCTCTCTCTCTCTCTCACCCTCCCTTTGGCTCTCTCCCTCTCTCTCTCTCCTTCTCTCCCTCTGTCCCTTTCCCTCTCGTTCTCCCTCTCTATGTCCCTTCCTCACTGCCTTCTCTCCTTTCCTCTTTTATCTCTTCCCATGCAATTTAATCAGCCTTGAGTCTAACTGACATGCTCCGATCATTCACCTCTGATTCGGACTCCTCCTCCTCCACCTCCTTTTCTGCCATTATTTTTGTGTGCTCCTGAAACGACGTTCCACGTCTCGTTTCCTCTCTGTTTCGCCGCTGGTCTGGTACATAAATACATTTGATGATTTCCGAATCACAAATGTAGTAGACATAGGTACTGACTGCTGTGAAGTTACATCGTGAATAAAAAGGTGGACATTATGCCTACGATTTCGAAATTTAGTTCATGCGATAGCATTTAGCCTCTATTTGTAATTCGGAAAACGGGAGGGTGTCATATGGTTGAAATTTGAAAGTAATAAGAAACTTCTAGTAAGGGAGACACCTCTTGCTCTTGCAGATAAACCTATGCGATAGTATCGACAAGCCTTTTACTTACCTTCACTACTGAGCTAATCTTATGATATAAATCGAGCAGTGCTTAGCTTATATCAGTGCGGCCACTTTGTCAAGATGAAGTCAGATGAACCTTATCGCATAACTACGCCTTTTAGTTGCATCATCGCTCAGCATTTTGAAATTCTCCGCATCCTTTCGGCATGTTTAACATCCCTGAAGTGCTTAACCGCTTGTAACCGTTGTAGACCAAACGTAGATTCGCCCTCTCCGAGCCATATCTTAAAGCTGTAAGTATGCAGCTAACATAAAATACCACAGCAAACGATTTTTTTAAAATATCACATGCTATGCTGATGTACATAAGCACAAGCAGTTCACCACTGGAACCTTCCCATATATGCAGCTTATTGTAGGCAAACAAGTTAAAACCGCAAGCTCAAATCCCGCGATCACGACGTCGTCATTTATCTCATGTTTGTGTCGTTTTAATTATCCATGCTTTAAGCATCTGACATTTACTTAAATTGCCGGATTATATGAACAGCTGGCTGTTCTGGACTTTGGGTGACAGGCACACAAGCGAGTAGTAAGGAATTTGCCAAAGAATGAGCAAATAATAGTTTGGTATAGAGAAAAACACAAGACACAATTAACAGCGCTGTTTTTCACTTGATTGGATTATCAATTCCTGTCACGTAGGCATCTGCAGATAATATTTGTCTTGGAATCATGTGGTCTATTGTCGGCGTTCGTGTCTCGACTGGAGCCGTCGATGTGCCGATCACTATACCATGACCGGAGCAGCTTAGCCGGTCCGGCCGTTTAGCCAATCACGCTGGTACCGGTTATAGAGGCCCCGTCAGCCACCGGCCCCCTGCGGCGAGGGAGGTGCGCTCTGTACCTCCACTGCCTCCGGCGCTATACACCCAGTCTGCAATATGTCAGCTGAACCCAAATAGACAGCGTAATTTACTGTGATTGTACGGTGGAAGCGGGATTCCCGAATAGCGCGATCTGATATCGGTCGCTAGCTTTAGGCGAATGTGGTCATCAGTCATGGACCCAAGTGGGCTATAGCTTCAGGGCGATTTTCTTTTGGTGGATGACTGATGACATGTGTATTTCGGTGTTTAATTCCTGAATAAATTGCGGATCTATGTTAGGTTGGTGCAGGAAGATACATACGAAGATGTATATAACGACGCTATAGAAACTTCAAACGCGATAGCCCATGGAGCTAAGAAATGCGAATACTACCTCGCCGCTTTGCGTTTCGCTTTTGGTAACTATAAGAAAACTGCGAATTAGCGTCCCGTTCGTACCCACTAATTAAGTGTGTACGAAGACGGGATAATAGCAGTGATTGTATACCAGCGGTAAATTGGCCAGAAGAAAGACTGAATGTAAATTAGCTTTATTTATGATCGTAGAAGAAGACTGGAGATAAAAAGAGGGCGAATAGAGGATGATAGAGCATGAGGAAGAGAAAGATGCTATGGCATTGAGATGAAAGAGGAGAGACGGCAGGAGAAAAGGGAAAAGTAAAAAAGAGGTGGAAGGGGGAAGAGAGAGAGAGAGAGAGAGAGAGAGAGAGAGAGAGAGAGAGAGAGAGAGAGAGAGAGAGAGAGAGAGAGAGGGGGATTTGGCTCAAAAATTTCAAAAATCCGAGATAGCAGTTTTGTAGCTCTGTTTGTTCTACACCTTTTATGTCTTAATTATTTTTCTGTACCTTCAAAGCTGTAGGCAAAAAGAGGGCGAAGCTCTTCTCGCGAAGGTCTTTTTTCGGTCGAATATGGCAGAACATGACGTCATTCTGACGTCATTTGTGGCCAACCTATCATAGCCTCTGAATTTTTTTTGACACAATGTGTAAAATTGACGCCCGGAGAGGTCCTGAAGGTTTGGTGGCGATATCTTCAGCCGTTTAGGAGACATCGACGGAAAAGGACAGGGGGGCCTTTTCGCCCCCCCCCCCCCCTACGGGGCGCGGGTTAACACGCCCATCTTCCCGCAAATTCTTGATCGAGTAGGGGCAAACGGCTAGGGGAGCAATCGAACCTCTTCCATATACATTGATGGCTGTGGAAACGCCAATACGGACCAGTTACTAAACGTTGCACGGTGTTTATAACAACAAAAAGCATCAATAATTACAAACATAACCACACGACGGCTGAATCATGCCTATCCCTAAAAATTCCGATTCCTCCTCAGCCAGTAGCCACCATGTCTTCTCTTGAAGCACAAGATGAATGCCCGCACAGCCCACCGGGCATGTCCGCCTATCCAGCGAGTCAGTGCTGGAAGTGCCGTGTTTGTCGCTGCTATCAGCGATTCAAGCGAGACTCGGCTACCGCGCGCGCCACCATCGCTCGCGCTGACACCGGCCATAAATACATCACGGCTATTTTGACAGGAGCACCCCTGCGGCGCTGCTGCTGCCGTCCAGCGCGGATGCGTGCCCGACATTCTGAGATAGCCCAGCCGTGCGGGTGTTTGGCACACCCGTCACCCGCGTATGTGTGCACGGCGAGCGGGTCCCAGGGGCGGCGTCAGGCCACTGGATGGGTGGGATGGTATGGGGCAAGTGAAAACTCGGCGCAAACACGGCACAGGAAACTACACAGACGATAACGGGGCTGGGAGAGATAAGACAATTCTGGTGTTTGTGTCACCCGGCATCAGAGGAGACCCACATTCTGGATTACTTGGATAAGCATCAGCTCATCTCTCTCTCTCTCTCTCTCTCTCTCTCTCTCTCTCTCTCTCTCTCTCTCTCTCTCTCTCTCTCTCTCTCTCTCTCTCTCTCTCTCTCTCTCTCTCTCTCTCTCTCTCTCTCTCTCTCCCTCCATCCGGGAACCCGGACTCTGCTGACCAGAACCGATAGCGTTGACGCAGTAGTGACGTGGTCGCGACCACACGAACGCCCATGACCGTATGCATGTAAATAAACATAGGCCATCCGACCCGCTGCAAGAACCGTTACACATTGTCCCAGGAATAAATATACGTGATACATCACATGCGAGAGCCGAGAGGCATGTCTCCTTTTATTAAGTTCTCGGAACTCGAGGCAGCTCCGGCTATTATCTATTGGATAAATCATGTAGGTATGCAGTTATGTGGCACGCTTTTGTTGGAAGCAATCATCGACTGTAACACTTAAAGATGCAGCATTCAACCACGGCAGTCCCTTCAAAAACTTCACCCACCCAGTAGCCAATGCCTGAATGCCTCGCCCGTATGTGAGCCGTTTGTTACACGCTGATGTTGCGTTGCAGTCTCCATTACTCCGCTGTTGTCGCGCTCAGTGTCTGCCAGGTAGGCTGACCCGCAGGGCACCGAAACACTGCGGCGCAGTATCAGCCACTCGTTACTTGAAGTATTTGGTAGCAGAGTTACAAATGCAGGTTTATAACAGTACAAAATGCTTGTTCGACACTGATTACACTACGAGTATTCCACCACCCGAACTTCAATATTTTTGTGAAGAACGTTACGGTCTGTCTTCAATTATCATCAAAGCTTTAGCTCGCATATGATGCTGCGAATTCAGTGGATGCTGCATACCTATACCCATCAGCGTCAGCTACCTACACTATTGGAAAAGTCCAAACGTTTCGCTCCGAGCCGTCTGGGCCGTGCTGGCGCCAGCTCCCGCAGCGCCACGCTGTTCTTGTGCCTCTCGGCTGCGGCGGACCGAGGCCTCCCCTCCCTCCCATCCTCCCCAGTTGGGCCTCCCTTCCAGCACCGTTTATCTGACCCCGGCCCTCGGACGACCTCGCCGCGTCAGCTGTCCAGATGACGTCATTTGACGGCGTGACGTCAGCTGAGGCAAACCTGCCTTCGTTCTCCCCTCCTCTATCTATCTTCTGTGTGCTCTGTGCACTCTGCCCCGTCGCTGCAGAGATTCGACTGGCGGTTGACCGAAGCGGTGGAAGGGTGCATCTCAAGGCCACAGTCGAGCAGGATACCAGCGTGCCGTGCTTATCACAGTACGGTTTGGTTCTCGAGTACGATATCGTTTTTAACAGCAATTTTGTCCGATCGTGCTGAGCTTATCACAGGCCGGTTCGGTTCTTGGGTAGGTACCGGATATCGTTTTTAGCTGCACTGCACGCTCATCCAAGGGACTTATCTGGAATCTATGTAGTACCAACCAGTCATAAGGTAGGTCAAAAGTATCAAAGTTCTGTACCGTGTACCGTCACTAGTTTACCACTTAGGTACCCTGTGGCGATGGGTAAGATTCTTCTGGCTGACGAGTTTACCACAACCTTCCTGATTTCCCCGCAATCACAGTCAGCGCAGAGGAATTTCAATTTGGTATTTACACCCTGCAAGAGCAAATTATGACTGGCATCTCTCTTGCGGCAGCTTTCAACTCACCTCGGCCATGCGACGTTTATGCACGCCAGCAGCAGAATGTGCCTTCAGAGGCATGCAGTGAGTCATTGATGGACGTAAGCTAATTGATAAAGCAATAAATCTGAACGGCATTTTGGCTATTATCATGCACATTCTTAGTCCATCGTCTGTAATTGGCTGCGGTCTCGATGATGTTTGGCCAAAAGCGACATAGAGCGAACTGGCCTCATGGATTGACACCACTAATATGCTAAATCTATATATTTAATTCTACATTGCTCCGTTAGAATAAGGGTCCGACAAAACACCATCTAACATAACGTGTAGAAAATGCGCCTTCTTTCATTTTTATCTTGTCAACCAGAGCCCTTCTTGTACCAATTGATCTGAATGGCATTGGATTCCGGATTTAGATTATCACAAACCCAGTGGGGCACATTTTAGCTCGTATGTAATATGTATACCTAATGTAGCTATCTAGAGTTTTATCACTCCGAAGCTGAGTCAGCGTAGCTTCGGATGCATTAGTCAAATGTAGTCGTAAACCGCTTGCGGATTCATCACGTGGACCCATTCATATTCTTTCCGACTTCATTCTCGAGCAACTACGGCGAATCACATAATATCGCCATTCAGCACTGAATAGACGTGCATGTGGATTAGCTTCGTTAAAACGTCGTGTTTCGCTTTCAAGTTGCCTCTGCCCAGCACGCGAGGGCCAACGTTCCGCATTCTGGCACCGATGCCAGACGAGACATGATGACATGTCGGAAAACAAGTCTTCAGTGAAACAGTAAAAACAGGGAAAAATGTCCGATTGCAGTCCAAATATCAGTAAAACAGCCATCATCGCTACCGTCATGGGTCGGTCTCTTCTGCACCGCGGCAAGTTTGCCAAACAAAACGGGTTAGCGACCTGCATGACCATCAAAGATCTCCGAAGCAAGATTGATAATTTTCATGTTACGACAGACATGAAAATGCCCCAGTGTACCGTCAAAGCACGTACCAAAGCCCCGTCTTCGTACTGGAGTCCGGACCTACGTAAAGTTGATGCAAGAATAAGTCGCCATGTTGACATGCCTCCTTTGTTTTCTCCCACAGTTGAGGAGCCGAAGAAGGCGGAATGCGAGGTGTGTGAGCAGCCAGAGACCAAGGAGAGCATCATGGATCACTTCTGCCGCGCCGACGTCGGTGAGCAATCGAAGAAAAACCTAGGTTCTAAAGCGTCGACAGATTAATTGGACAGATTAATTTTATCGTCACTCATTAGTTTGTTGACTACAACTTACTGTTTCCATAGATGCAAAACTAAATTCAGTACACTAGAGTCGTTCAATCCATCGACATTCTTATTTTGTTTATACTCTTGTCGCGATTGTTTATACATACTAAAAAGCCTATATGTTCAGAACTCGAAGACAAATTTATAGTCCTAATACCCCTCCCCCTTCTCTGTCTGCGGCAGTTTTGGTCTCCAAGTTCCGCCGGTTGCGGCCGCAGCGCGCACAGCTCGGCAAGGGCCGCCTCTTCAAACCCCAGTCGGCCCCCAAGGAGCAGCGGCGCGCCCTGCGAAGACCTCGACTCGCGTGGAGTCACGACTCGTCCTGCTGTCCGGCCGTGAAGGAGCGCGCCGGGAAATACCTGGTGATGGCCAGGAGGAACCAGGGCGGACAGCTGGTGCCCACACTGGTGATGCCTTGGAAACGAGACCGGGTGAGTGAGTGAGTGAGTGAGTGAGTGAGTGAGGTAGTGAGTGAGTGAAAGAGTGAGTGAGTGAGTGAGTGAGGGAGGGAGGGAGGGTGGGTGGGTGAGTGAGTGAGTGAGTGAGTGAGTGAGTGAGTGAGTGAGTGAGTGAGTGAGTGAGTGAGTGAGTGAGTGGGTGGGTGGGTGAGTGAGTGAGGGGGTAAGTGATTGATTGATTGAGTGAGTGAGTGAGTGAGTGAGTGAGTGAATGAGTGAGTGAGTGAGTGAGTGAGTGAGTGAGTGAGTGAGGTGGGAGACAATGAACTACCAAGGACTAGGTCGGAGACGAGTGAATGATGTAGGGTCTATGGGGAAAGTCCCAAAGCTTGACGAGGAGAAATGCGGGATGTATTGTTAGCATAAGTAGTCAATGGGCCTCATAAGGTGGCTGACGATCATCAGACCAAGAAAGAAGTTGTAGCTTTCCTGACGCAGTACGCACGCCTGACACGTTGTGATTTGTGTACGCTAAGCGGCTAACAAATCTTCAGATCGCAAAACCGAGTAGAGGGTAGGATTATGATTAAACTAAGCCAAATGAGAGAAAACATCACGGAACCTTTGATAGTGTCACAACGAGTCGAGCAAACGTGGTCAATGCTCAACAGTGCAATAAATATGATGCGACTTCGATGACACATATAAAGCGTTAAATATCTTCTACGGCTATAGTATTCTGGGAACGCATTAGAGATTAAACAGGTGCTCAGTACTTCATGTTAAAAACAATCATGAACTTCATTTCTCCAAAACAGCGAGGCATCTAGATTACCGACGCTCTTACTAATGACTACTAAGTGCTAGATAGACAATAAGCTTTATAAATAGTCCTGATACCTTGGGTGTAAGATTGGATATGTGAAACTGCAACAACTCGCAAGCACAAATATCCAGCTAATGCGAACTAAAAAAAAGTCACTTTTGCTAGCATATGATACTGAAGCCCCTTTAATAAAGGCATACTCATTTGCATCGATCAATACCGTGTGTGTTTCGTCAGCGCCTACAAAGCCAGACACCTTCACATATGAATCGCTCATGACCTTCTCGCCTGCCAGCCCTTTTAGTGACCTCGCCCCCTGTCCCCCGGCAGCTGTTCCGGTCAGTTCGCGGCCTGATGCGACGTTTCGACTGTTCCGACTCCCGTACCATCCAGGAGCAGATTCTGCCCTCGGCCGTCCGCGGTGGCGGCAAGCGAGGCCGAAGCAAATCGGGCCGTCGCCGCCGACCCAAGCGGCCCCGCCGGCGGCAGGGAGGTCGCCGGAGGGGGTCGAGAGGTCGCAAACAGGGGGCCAGGCGCCGGGGAAGGGGAAAGAACCGAAAGAACCAGACGACCACCACCGTGCCGCCAGCGACGACGGTGTGAAGTGGGAGAGAAGGCGACACGACAGTCAGCAAGCTATAGATGAACCCACAGAGACACGAGGGGCTCCAGAGAAAACTCGAGCTGATGCGTTCACTGTGCGCGTGGCTGCTGAACTATGAATGTGATCTGTGAAAAGTGACGATCAACAGAGGACTAGACCCGAAATCGCTGAGACGACCGCGGCTCTGCGCTAGCGTCGAGGCAAAACAATTTCAGTGACGTGAGCGGCACTGGACTGAGCGGGCGGATGAATATTGTATACGCCGAGCTCAAAGTACTCCCGAAACACCCTCGCCAGTTGGGCAGGGAACGGTACAGTGCAGCCCGGTAGAGTACATCGGATACAGTGCAGCTCCGTCAACCGTACCGGGCGGGCGGACCCGCAATAGCGCGTGATCGCGATAGGTGCCATGTCGTGGACTACACGTGTGATAAGTGTGTTGTGTTTTGAACACTGGGTGGGTCCCGTCGCGGTATGTTGGCGCAGTTGTGCAAACGAAAGCCGTCGGAACGGCGACCGGGGAGGCGCAGGGTTTGTAATTGTTACATGGAGTATTACATGTAATTGTTACTCTGCAAAATATAAATATCGTTGTAACTTGCAGTGACTTGCTACAAGTTGATAATGGATGGATACAAAACGTGCGGTAGATAGTGTCTGAACATCTTCAAAGACACAAGTAAATACTCAAGGAGCCATAGGAAAGAAAAAATGGAGCCCTGCATTTGCATAAGATTGGCCAGTAGACACGTTGGTACGAATATTCCATGAAAGTGAAAATTTTGACATTCGCTGACGGCCAGATGCGGCGTTCAAAAACCAAAACTTCTATTGCAATTAAACCGATTTAGGGCGATCTTCCACCCGGTAAAGCTAGTTCGCAGCATACAGGATGGCTTATGGTTCCAAGATAAACAAAAAATAATAAAAACAGCTAAATGAGTTATCGACCACTTTATTTAAACCACTCTGTCAATCATCCTAAAACAAGTTTACTTACAGCTACTCGTTATGAGGGTGAATAATAAATATGACGATATGTATTGTCGACAAAACAACATTAATTTACATTCAATTAAGTTATACGATAAAACAGGCACTAAAAAGGGACCTCTATAATTCGCAATACGAAGCCTCTCATTACAAAAGCTGGCCTCGAACAATCACCAACACCAATTCACACTGCCACCCACTGTGACAATAACAATCGATAACAATGAACCAAAACGAGCTGAAAGCAAAACAAAGGAACTGGTGGCACGCTGACGTGCTGAACAGTTTTGAGCTTTTGACCGACCCATCCTCTCATACCCAAAGCCATAGTCCCGAACAAACTTAAACAAGGCTAGAAAGGACAAAACAGCTGAAACGACGTAGCCAAGGGAAATATAATTTTAAACGCAAAAAGCACACGAGTAGAAACTGTAAGTCTTTGTCTACAATAAGAACGGTTCACACACCGGAGCTAACAAGTCAACAGAAATGGGCATTACTGATGGCAATGCTAGACGCAATAGAAAATCCATTTGTAATGCGTATTTACGTGATCTGTATTCCGATGAGTGGCCCCATACCTAAATTATCATTTCCAAGGAAAATCCAAAATCCAAAAAATCATAACACATTTTCTTGGTTACACGAGTATATACGCATTGACTCGAACCATTCTCGTTAGTACCAGATAAAGAATAGATACTGGACGCAAAGTGACGTGGCTCTCCACATGTAGAGTGGGGAACACCAGAAGCTGCGTCATTTTGCATCTTTACTGGCTCGATGACACAGCCAGTGCCACCAGACGCTCTCTCGGCGACACATTTGATCTAGACGACGACCCAGCGCCGCGCTACCCACACTGGCCAGACTGAGATGCTGACCGAACCCCACAACCCGCCAGTAAATACGGTACGCAGCCCCCGGACCACCTGGCCACCCACCACACAGTCCTAAAGACACTCAGAATCTTTATAACGCAGTGAATGGGAAATTAAAGACCCAAATCCGAAACGTTGTGAAAAATGGACAGCCTCATCCTGTGCTGTGTCGCCATGCCAATATAAATCGGCAATTTTTGGAATGGTATCGGTGCTCAATTACTGAGCTTTCCCTGATCTATCACATGCTGATATTACCGACCGCAATTTACCTAAATAGTTTACCAAACGTTCGAAAAGAAGGCACGTCAAACCGAACAAGTCCAGCTCACTGAGATCTTATATATAAAGACGCAAAAAGGCTTCAATTAGTGGCATTTGTTTAGACGGTTTCAAGTCAGGGGCATGTAAAAATATCGTGTCTATTATAGTTGTTTGTTCTCGGCCTCAATACATTTTTTACATCTAATTTACATTTTTTAAATATTAATAACCAAATAGTGCGCGGGTGCTAGGATATTTTTCGTCAGTAATGAAAATTGCCAAGAGATATCTCATTTTCCTCGCTTTTCTTCTAAGAAGTATGCTGTTGAAATTGATCACAAGCACAAAGCTCTCTGAAAAGACCCGAAGACTTCGAATGAAACGCCGCGCCACAAAACGTTTTTATACATTAAATAGGCATCTCTACAAGTAAGATCTCAACGGTCCGGATACCCTGGTCATCAAAAAGTCTAGATGTACAAAACTACCCCGCAGCACCCGCCAGCGATGAGACAGCTACCTCCTAAACGGAGAGTGACGCCCTGTGCTTGGCCTCCATTTCGATTTGCTTGACGCGGGTGTAGGCGGCACTACCGCCGAGCACGATGAAGTTGGAGGTCCACCAGAGAACGGTGCGGTACTCGGAGAACCACCACGAGCCGAGCACCGTCTGAACACACGCCTTGGCCGTGCCGGAGATGTTGTGCGTCAGAGGTGAGGTCACCTGGGGAGAGAGGGGGGGGGGGGGGGTGAGATATCGTCTGGAAAGAGATGAGGCGAGGATGGTTAAAGCAGAGGGGGACGAAGAGAACAGATAGAGCGAGAGAGATGGGTGAGAGTAAGACTCAAGAGAGAGGAAAAGAGAGAGAGAGCGAGAGAAAGCGGGAGAGAGAGAGAGAGAGAGAGAGAGAGAGAGAGAGAGAGAGAGAGAGAGAGAGAGAGAGAGAGAGAGAGAGAGAGAGAGAGAGAGAGAGAGAGAAGAAAGAGAGAGAGAGAGAGAGAGAGAGAGAGAGAGAGAGAGAGAGAGAGAGAGAGAGAGAGAGAGAGAGAGAGAGAGAGAGAGAGAGAGAGAGAGAGAGAGAGAGAGAGAGAGGAGAGAGAGAGAGAGAGAGAGAGAGAGAGAGAGAGAGAGAGAGAGAGAGAGAGCAATCTAAACATCGTGATGCAATGGGGAAATGCCAGACTTCCCGTTACGGCACGAGAAGATGCTTAGCTGTATGTACAGTTCCAAGGATACACGGTAACACGTACAGAGAATGGAATGTTGCGGGGCGACGCAAACTTTTCGCGTTGTTCACTATCGTGACGCCGGCAACTCTTAGCGTCAATTAATCGTGATAATCTTATCGAGCAGGCACTTCGAGAACACGGCATGCGGATTCTTCCACGCCAACACACTTCCCGAATCTCAGACACGGAAGATGCCGTCAAGCAGGTCATGTTAGTTACCAAATAGCAAACAGTGACATGACAATTTGAGGAGTCCCTGCGCTAAAAATAAAAATAAAATAATCTGAAACAACGCTGGGAAATGATGAGAGCAGAATAACTTACGGGAGCCTCATCAATTTCACCTTAAAAAACGTGATGATTTTTCAAGACCACGAACTGATGAAACGTCTCACGATAGAAAACGTAAATACGGGGAGGGGGGTTGAATTTGATCACAAGCACAGTTCTTTTCTGGCTGCGTGGTAGATATTCATGGCTAAGGAAAACCGAGTGTGAGTCACACATTTTTGTGTTATTGTTTCCCAGTGGCTTCGAGCTTTTCTGCTTGTGTAGAAATAATGATACTGTCCACGACACGTAGTAAAATGACGGGTAGGTATAGCACAAACGTCAGAGATAATTTCACACTTTATAGTTTGGCGACGGGTTTTGATGCTGAGACAATCCAGCCTTTCACGTTGAACATTAAAATGCAATTAACTCGAGATCACTAAAAATCCTGGTCAGGAATGTACTCGGATCGCAAGCCTTCGGACCTGGTTTGCATCATCATACCAACTTCCCCCACAGTCGATCAGATCACGATGGAAAACTAAGAACTGGTGTGATTCTCACGCAACGCGCTGTCCCGTACACCCGAGCTGATCCCTCTGCGAAAATGTCTCCTCTCCCGTGCCTTTCCGCGGATCAACACCTCACGATGTGCAGCTGGCCGTCAGCCACAAAAAGTCAGCCCGTTTTTGGCGTTCCAGCCGAGACAGGCTGGGTAACGGTACCGGATGGCCCGCGGCGACCGGCGCCGAGTGTCGTCAGCTGATATCGCCAGTCAGCTGACCGTGAGTCACACAGACAGACACACATACACACCGAGGACAGAAGACAAACGAAGGGGAAGAACGCGCGGACTTGGGCGGCTAGACGGGACAGCGGGATGAGAGGTCGATATACGAGGGAATGGGGCTCAATTCTCGCCGTAAGACGAGCTGCAGTTATCTTGCAGCCAATTGACTTCCTATCGCATACCTGGCAAGATGCAATATGATATATTTCACTAACATTCTGAATTGTTTGCCAGAATCCGGTCAAATAAAAAACGTTGATGACAAAATATGAAAACTATTTGATGGATATTAGCTTTTTGGTTTCACTTTCTCTTTCGCTTCAGCAGTTCCCAAAATGAAACCCACTGCCGGATATCTAACGCTATATAGTAACGTGATGACATGATATCCAAGCGCCAGAATGCATACACCAATGCTGACAAAAATTCATCCATGTCAGATATCGAAACAATCCGCCTGTCAGCAATGATCTATGATAGCTGGCGAAACAATCACAAATGCATCAGCACGAAGTCGTGCCCATCGAAATGCATTCCTTCAAAAACTAACAGATCGCATTCCGCACGTCACTTCGTTTCCACATGGGAACAGATGATGTAACCATGGTTAATCCCGCCCGATTCGGATGAGAAAAAGCCCAAGAGTTGGAAGATCGTATCAGCGGAATGCACCAGAGCGCCATGCATGAATGCTATCAAGTGTCGCTTGCCGATGGCGATGTTACCATCCATACGAGTATGCTAAATATCTACTGCATCGAATTCTCTTTCGCGATATATCCACCTTCAATCACGAACTACAGAAAACATACAAAGATGCTGTAATCAACAGTCATCTGAATTTTGGAGGAATGTGTTTATCAAATACGCTACTTAATATTTATATTAGGTGCCACACTGATAAAACAGCAGATAACATGGCTGAACATAGCTAAATAACGTAGCAATACCACTTCCAAGCTGGAGCGCATGAAAATCGAGTCGCCTTAAATTGGTCATGTCTGCAGCGTGCCGGTCTACTTAAAATTTCACGCACACACCCTAAACAATAACGTCGTGTGATAGTTAAGTAGAAAGTCGTGCTGTACTGTACCATGTTTGAGCATCATTCGGCATAAACGCGAATGTGAGCAAGAGGGGGAGTGGTCAAGTTTGGGAAAAATCTACCTTTTCGTCATGCATAACACCTACAAATTTAAAGCCCTGCTGTTGTTTGCCTGGCAGACAATGGCTGAAAAACCAGACACTTGTGCTTCGCCCGGTCTCAATTACATAATACACATGGAACTTTGCCTTCTGCTCCAAAATTACGCATCATATAGAATTACATAACCCACTTTAATATGCATTATGCAGTTGAACAGTGAAGCCCGCCTTAGATAAGATGCCCGCATTAATCCACGCCTAAAAGGACGGGGGCCTGACATGCCGTACTAACCATCTGAATATGCACTGCCATGACGTCCTCCCTACCTATACCACAATGAAGCATGATACATGTACACCAGACCATGTCTTCCTCATGGATTTCTTGACCGCTCGGATCATGATGCATCCCAAAGGCCAAATCCCATGCAGTTTTAACCCACCTGAATCTGCAGTCCGGTGACGTATCCAATGGAGAACCCGAACACACCGGCGACTGTCATCAGAGTCCAGAATTTCGGGTCGGCCAGCCCCTGGAAGGCCATCAGCTGGGACCACTCTCCGGTGATCAGTACCAGCGGCGTGAACAGCAGGCAGGCGTTGATGTTGTTGTAGTAGGTGAGAAGCCACACGCTGCCGTCCACCACCGGTAGAACCTGGGTGACAAGGGGGGGGGGGGGCGGGATGAACTCAGCTGCCGAATGAAAAACATGGCGCAGGGTGAGGGGTGAGCGGGGGTAGTCGGCACTGTATCGTGGGTACCTAACGCACGAGCGATGGAGCTTTTTTTAACCCGCGCCCTGGTGTGGGTCTGAGCCACCTTCGCCCTGGTGGGGGGGGGGCCAAAATGACCCCCCCCCGTCTAACTCGAAAACGAAGAGGGCTAGGAAGACGCGGAAAAAAGCAAACGAAAGCCCATAACAAGTACGTTCGAAAGTATTTCGGTCATTTTTTCGCTAAGGTCAATATTGAGGTCGCTAGAGGTCATCATAGGTCAAATTTCAGTGTTTTCGGTGTTGCCGGACATATTCCGCTGTAGCTCGGAAACTAGAAGAGCTAGAGAGCCGCGGAAAAAAGCAATCGATAGCTCTTTTCAAGCTCTTTCGCCAAGGTTCGTCAGATTTGACCTCAGCTCAACGGTTTGGCCTACAGAGGTCATGCAAGGTCAACTTGGCAAATTTTGTTGAAAATGTTTTTAACTATAGCATGCATTCACGAGAAAATAGAGAAACGATTCATGCACCATCGTGCTTGGCTCGTCGAGACGCGTCGAATGATATATAGCTTGACCTCGAAAGGTCATTTTGAAAATTTGACCTCAGGTCAAGGTCATGACCTTACCGAAATAGGTCATGCTGCATATCATTCGATCCGCATTGACGAGACAAACACGATAAACGTCGAACGGAGTCTCTATCTCTATTCAATAACAAGTAAGTGCAGAAAAACCGCTGGTGACCTCTGGTGACCAGGGAGATGACCTAGCGTGACCTCAGCGAGGTCACAAGCAAATGGTTTCACATGGGCTGTGATTTGCTGACCCAAGACACTTCAATAACGAAATATAGGATCAATCACGCCCGATTTAGCTGAAAAACAACTACTTTTCGATTCTCCCATTGACTTATAATGGGGAGCAGCGATGACCTGACCTGACCTTAGGTCACATTTATAAAAAATCCGAGATAGCCATTTTGTAGAGCTGGGTGACATCTTCAAGTACTGTAAATTTTACATCGATCGGATAAAAGCTGTGCCTTTGAGAGAGCTTTGAACTTTTTTAGAGGTGGTGTCAGTTTTGGTGACCTTGTGACCTGACCTGACCTGACCCGAACCCCCCAAAACAGGACATGATGTAAAAATGTTGAATAAACAGCTATACAAAGTTTCAGGGCGCTAACTCAAGTGGTTTCTGAGTTATCGCTGAAAAACCACAGGGGGGGGGGGCCAAAATGGCCCCCCCCCCCACCAGGGCGAAGGTTAAAAAGAAGACAATTTTTGAAAGTGTAACTATCGGGGATATGCTACACACGTATGCGCCATATAAATACGAGATTCAGATCGAATGGAAAAGTCTGTCATAGGTAGGCACGGGTTTGAATTAACTACGCATTTGATTAGTGAGAGTGCTTAAACACATTGCACAATGCACACAGATATCAACGCAACTCGCGACGATCATGTTCACTGGACGTTGACAGAAGCGACATTTAAGCAACTACTAACGAAGAAGAATTACAACTACCTGATCACATTCTCCGACACTAACTGGCCAGCACATCTCGAAGAATGAGTCAAGGGATCAGCTGCCAGCCACGATCAGGGGAAGTCCATCCATAACCTTTCAGATTACTCAAGAGCTCGGTGGCCTAATGCGTCCAAAGTTTCCACACAGGAATCATCCACTAGGGACGTTAATGCTATTCCATCCAGCACTCATGAGGTGTTTTATGACAGCCGCGGAGGCGGTCCCTTCATGACAAGACTCTAGGCCTTCCCAGCAAAGTCGGCAAACAGCTCTTCACAAAGGGACAGGGCGAGGAGCTTATCCACGCTAATACGTGTTTAGCCGGCTGAACCGTTACAAAAATCTGACAGCAGAGCTCTAAGCAGTCGGCTGAGACGGTGTCAAAAGCGCCGCGTAATACGAGCCATCAGATACATATATTGATGTAAAAATAGCACACGCACCAGGCCCATACGAGACAGGTTATTTAGCATAAACATTTTAAGTGTCACCATATCTGCTATTACTGAGCTGTTCAAGCGTTGTACTTGCTAATCAGCCCACCTTACCATACAAAAGCGACACGCAAACGCATTTAATGGTTGCCAATCAAGTAAAAATATGAAGAATGGTCAACTCCGTGTCGAATGGCGAGAATATTTAAAACGCAATCGCAATTCTATTCGGCTCCTAGCAGAGGATGTATGTTCAGTGTAAGCAGCTCTCAATCCGGCCGCGCTGATTGGCTACTGACCTTTTTGGTGTAGATGGCGAACAGCGAGACGAACAGGGACGCCAGCACTCCATAAGCGACGCCAGCGATTGACAGCGAACCTGCCGAGAAACAGGGCGGAGACGTGCTTAAACCAAACTCCCACCAGAGCAGCAGGCGACATTCATAGTGGTTAGAAATGCTCGCAAATGGTACAGAGTTTCAACTGTGAAAGACTTCTGAGTGATAGAATAGATTGGTGCTCAGCTTAAAAAAAAAAAAAAAAACACCGGGTGGAGATCCAACATGGTGCACACCAATGAAATACATGCATACGAAGCACTCACACCGTCATGCTTCCACTGTTTTCCGAGCTTACCTACGACGCCTTCCTGATCGACACCAAGCAGGAATCCAAAGATGATGACGCCGCAGCAGGCTATACTCTGGAACGACGTCTTCTGACCTGGAACGGGACAAACAAGAACTTAGCCGCCTTCGAACGGTATGGTGGATTGAGCGTTTATCACATACCGATATACCAAGAAGGATGCACATACATCCTTGGAATGCGATAGTTCTGAATGCATTGGTTTGAGTTGAATTTCTGCTTGAGCGCATTTATTTCAAAATTGACGGTTGATGACATTTGAAAACCATGCCTAGTAGAAGACTGACAGAAACCATGAAAACAAGTGCATACGTGTACCCGTATATATGTATACTTATCGCTGTTCCTGTTTAACAAATAACCGTACATCGCATATGCGCCTTTGCTTGGTTATCAGGTCATCGTACATGAGGCTACATGGGATCTACATGACCGTAAAAGACGCAGTAGAGCTGACACGTTACGTAAAAACCAACTTCCAGCCGCTATCCAGATTATCCGGCTCTTGTAAACTGTTCTGTCTAAAACATTTTATATGCAACCAGTGGATAGCTATCGGCCTGCTGTGACATAGAAGCTTGTCACGACATTCTAAGAGGCTTTCTAGAACTGGGAATGGATCATACAACAGGAAGGAAAACGCTAGAAATGCTATAAATAACGGAAACTGGGTAAAAACAGAACGAAAGAGAGCTAAAAAAGAACAAAACAAAGAAGACGTTTACCAGATAATACTCCAGCAAAGGAGCAAAGTACTGAAAGTACTGACAAAAACACTGAAAAGATCAAAACACCTCTCTGACCTCCGACTTCGTATCTATGACCAAGAGTGAACAAAAACGGTATCAGTATTTTACCAAAATAAACAGACTGTCCAGGACGTGAATCGTCCTGCCTTATCGAGTACACTAGCGCATTGGTCATACATAATCAATGATTAACTGATATGGACGCTCCAATTATCATTAGCATGGCTGATTTCCGAGCACGTCAATCAAACTCCGAACGGCAAAAATCATCCCATCTAAGCTAGCCACAAATTCCTGAGCATAATGCCCTCAAGAACGCACATTTGACCCGGCGACATCGCAGGAGTCGGGTCACCGTCGTGTCGCTCTGGGGAAGCGACGTGGCACAGTTGAGCCAATCGATGTCAATTGGCCGTTAACACGCTGAACGAGCCATAACCAGGCGCGCACAAGACGGCAGCCGGCGTGGAAATGGAAAACAAATGCGCCCGGTTAATCTTCCCTTGACACCCCTCCACGATGAGTGACGAAGAGGAAGGATGGAGGAGGAAGGGTGACAGAGCGCCGGAAACACTGCAGTCAGCCGGCGGACGATTAATGCGTGTTTGTTTTGTCATTTGTTTTGCTGAGTCAGGACCTTTCAGTGTAATTAGACCCTCCAAAAGCCGGAAGGATATTGGGAATTAGGAAGGAGAGCATTGGTCTAAATAAATGATTATGATGGTGCACCGCCGCGGACAATCTCGTCCCGACAGGCAGGGCACCCAGCGGCACTAACCCAGCCCGTGAGTAACGCGTCCACTCATTTTATGGGGAAGCCACGTTCATGCGGGTGACATGCGGCCACAATATGCGCCTCAGCGGTCATGACGTGGCGGGCCACTCGCACGGGGCGGCGGCTCAGCAGAGGCGACAACCCCTGAGCCGAGCATTATAAATGCCGTAGAATGGATATGGCAGCACTGACTAACGTCCAGCTGCAGAAAACGGCTGTTAAATTCGAAATGGTTTCACTCATTGCAGTCCATCGTACATTAACGGTACCATGAATCGTTTCATTGATAGGATGCGCGTTTGCTAACACTGATATCACTGTAAATGTTAGCAAGCACCGTGAGTATGTAGAATAGCACGCCCGTTTATGAGGTTGGATCCTGGCAAGACGGTGACGAGGGAGGGCTGCTGCTCACCAGGGGCAGTCTGACTAATCCATGACTAACATAACCGGTGCGTCAGCAGCGCAGTTTTGTGGTGAGCAGCGGCGGTGCTTACCCAGTACTCTGTGGGATGCCAGAGTTGGAGATCGGTTTGTGATAAATAAGGGCTTACCGAATCCCGCGGGATACAAGCCAGCCTCCTTAGTTAATTCGGTGGAATAGAAGTGCTGGGTTCCTAATCCTCTTATTGGAAGGTGTGAAGACAGGCATGGGCTACGTCGCTGGTACCTTACGGTCAACATTTTCAGGAATGTATCATACGAAGTGTTGGGATAAACCGCAGGCCGTTACGTGAATCTGAAGCACTCTTCGTTGAGAGGTATGAGGGGAAAGAAACGCAGTCAATATCACCTTTTCGTAACAGCGCTCGTCTCATTGCCTTTGTTTATTTTGTTGGGAAGTAGGCTCTTTTGGTCTGACGAGACCATTTCAGAGCCGGAAGGATTGTAGTAATTAGGGGGACACCTTGGTCTGGGCGGGCACCCTGGTGCTCCGCCGGGGCTGAGCCCATCACGTGGACAGGCCACCCAGACCCGCTAGCCCCGCTAACGGTCACCGCAGGGGCCATGGGCCTGCTCCTGGGATAAAGGTGACCATTCAGCCCATAACAAGGGGTTTGAAAAACAATAGGCTCCTTAAAAAACTTTCCATAAAAAATCATAGGAAATCAGTAGTCACCCATGACTCATGGGTCACCTCTACTGGCCCATAAAGCAGGGCTAGGAGTGACAAAGTGACAGTATGGTACAACTGTAGCCGCCAGACGATCGTTGCGACATCTACTAACTTGATGTTAGTCGCTTGAACTCGCACAGGTTGGCTTGTGATTTGTGAAACCTCACGCGTTTAGATCCCTGGTATCAGTGTGCATTACTCGAAGCATCTCGTAACTAGGCATACCTACATACGTTTTTACGCTACCCCAATTAATTAGCTCATGACTCACGTTAGCTTTTCCACTGTCAAAGAAAATACCACCAATCCTCTGACCGGCGCCCCAGTCTGGGAAGCGCGTCACTCCACTGGTATTGTATACCGATTCCACCAGCCTGTGTCTGATAAATGTTTGGCTCGTTTAGCTTTGTGAATACGGTGGTCCAAACGCGGTTGGGCTACATTCTCGTAAAGGCGTCGTAAGCACTGAAAGAGATAAATGAGTGCTCATTAAACTAAAGCACGACAACCTCGGGTACAACTTACCTAGGATGAGGTATGTACAGATGACGTTGAACACAGTGGTGAGCGAACGACCTATGTAGTAGAACGAAACGTCCACGTTCTTCAGACATAGATTGTTGAACATGATCATGCAGATAAAAACGACAGACAGCGGCAGCACCTGTGGATGAGAGAGTGACAATGAGTTTAAGAGAGTCGGGCAAAAGGCGTTTGATAATCTTAGCGTCGTTTACTAAAAGTAAGATGGTATGCTAATGTAACTATGCGGTGACCATAAGAGCTAAAACAAACTTTCATTTCGAAAAAGAAATCACCTTGACACTATTGGTATTTAGTTAGGGCGTAGTGAACGTCACTTCGAAGTTCGAACCCACACCTTGCACCATTAGTCAATACCAATCTCAGCGATGTCCTGCAGCCATCAGGAGTCCCACCCCACCGTCGCTCCAAACCCACCTCTGCCTAGGTGTTCACCTACCTGCAGCATCAGTTTGGGTTTGACGGTGGGCGGTGGCAGGTTGACACCAGGCACGTATGGCCCCAATGAACTAAAGGCGAAACACATGGCTGACGTCACCAGGCACTGGTATCCGGTGACGAAGAACGGCGCGCTGACCCCCTGGCCGCTGAGCAGCGCCTTGTTGGCGAACACCATGGTGATCGAAACCACCCTGTGGGGGGGGGGGGGGGTAGGTAGGTTAGAGGGGGTGGGGAATGTTAGACGGGAGAAATGCCGAGAGCGATGGGACGGCAAGTAGCGGCATACAGAGCATATTAATTACTACAACGGGGGCGATTCAAGCGTTCCACCACTGGGAAATGTTATACCGAAAGCAGGCAGCTCGAGCGCTTCAGTGATTTAGAGCGGGCATAGATATAAAAATGGCTGTGATGTTATAGCGTCCACTAATGATAAGCTTAAAGTAACGTGTTCTTAAACCGGTAACAATAATGCCATAAACCGGTACCAATAACACCAGGCTTACCAGTAGGTGGCGACGACGGCCGCGATTTTGGCATACTGGAACAGCAGTGTAGGTGCCCTGAGGAACGCAAGAAAACCAGCACACGGGTCAGGCATCTTAGGTGCACACTGCGCATCAAAATGGCTTATAAACTAAGCCTGCTGTTGGAAGTTAAAAGGGACGGGGCAATGTGTCCCGGTGCCATGGCAGGCTTTCCTTTATTTACGAGATTCACGCAGCAAAATGACTTAAGGGTTCATGCATCCCACTTGTGATCGCAATTCGGCAAACCAATTCTTTCAGTAAAAGATAGTTAACAAATATTCGAGGAACGAGGAGCAGCACGACTTCGATCGATTAGAATAGATGCATAGCTTTCCTTTTAAGAACGGAACCGATATTCACTTATAACTTCACTCCGCAAAATACCCACTGCTTTCCTGCACAACGGCACGATCAGCAGATCAAATATCATTATCACCTTCCCACCGCCACCAAAGACTACACCACAGGGACAGGACCATGCACTAACTACAGAACTTCAGTCAGGGAAAGTCCCAATTACCAGAAAAAGAAGCAAACCGTATAAATTGGACTTCATAAAAAAAGCGCCATCAATAACCCAGCGAAGTTCCCAGGCACCCTTGAGGTTTAACAATCGGAATTTGTGAGAGGATGGGTGATCTGTAACCATCATTGATTTAATTTAACACCAATATATGATTTTCAATTACCTACCAGCCATTGCAATACAAACCGAACACAACAAAATCTTACAGGCGCATGAATTGGATCCAATTTGTCTAAAATATGCTTCAGTGCATCGGTGGGACGCTGCCACTGACACGAGACTCTATGTCTCAGACCGGACGTGAGTCGAAACTTGGCCAGCCAAATGAAACACAAAATAAACACCCAACACTGGCAAACATAACATTGACTTCCACAGTACTCAAACATTGCGGGGACATTCCACGTTAATTTGATAACTGACCAATCATGACCATTCGTATTTAATTTCGCTAACAAAAGGCTGGTGATCGTTTTAGCCTGTGGTTATCGCGACATAGAAAACAGTAACACATAGAAACGCGTCCTTTCTTTTATCTAATCTTCATCAAATGAACGTGGAGTACCCTGTACTGTTCCTGGACAGGTACCTGCTGCCTTCCTCAGCGGAGGGTTTATCGTCAGCCACCAGCGGCTCCTGGTCCTTTTCCATCGCGCCCCGCGAGCTCATAGTGCTCACCCACTGCCAGCGAGAGTGTCGTCAATGGCTGTGTCGGTGCCAGAGCTTGTTTAGATAGATTCGATGATAGTGCGTGAAGATAACAGAAATATCTTTTTTCTGAATGGGGATGAATGCAAAAAGGTCAGTGCGAGCAGCCATGCATAAAATAGATGCAAACTGTGCCGAAATAAAATGTAAATCAGGAACACAATACATTCATTAGAATAGCTTGCTTTGTCAAAGGATTTGCTGCACATCAAATAAACGGGAAAAGGTTATTTTGTACGAACATATCGATGCTTAAACCTGAATGTCACTTTATGCAGCTATCATAACGAACAAGTCTGAATGCATTGAAAAAGAAATTCATGTGCATTAAATCTGCTTAGGTATGTTAGCGAAATATCTTAAACGAAATGAATAGGAAGGATTTAAAACAGCCCATGTTCGCCTGCTGGGACAGTTTTGAGTGACTGTCAGTCAGCATGCACGATTTTCACCGTCACTTAGCGCATAACAACTCATGCAGAGGGCAGAGCAAAGATCGGTTTCTCGAGATGTCTGTAGGGAAGTTATTAAATAAATTGCGATTCATGCCTGTAGAAGCTTTGAAAATAACCGAAAACGCGGCATTGCTGGCAAACCTTGATTGATGTTACTGAGCATTAGCTATACCTACCATTTACTTTGAAATGGACATGCAAACATACAATCGAAAGCGTTATATGCACCATAGTCTATCAAGTTATAGCATTTCAACTCTGTCACACAACAAACAACAAAACAGCATCGTCCACATTTCCTGGAATATCAGTCACACCAAAGGAACGCCTGTAAATCCAGATACTGAGTCACAAAATCTCCCAACACGGCTTTTGCGGATTATCCGTACACTAAACAACAAACATAGGAAAAGAACAGGAGAGGTGGCACAGCTGGCCGGACAAAAGTCGCACTATTCCCAGGCTTCAGTGGAGCCGCCAACCAGAAACCACTCCCTGCTGTTGAGCAGAATAGTGTGTGTGTGTGTGGGGGGGGGGGGGGGCACGTGGATAACCGCACCCCGTCGTATTTACTCGGATAAGACCAGCTTCAGGACGCAGGATGGATGGATGGTATTTTGAGCGTCCTGATAGTTACGTGAATGCCTCCAATTACAATATGAACTTTGCTTTTTTAACAGCAGCGATTCTAAGAACATTAAAATGCTACTTTGTAAAACAATACAAAGTTTAAGTAAATATTCCTGTAAGTGTAGGTAGCGTTAATTTTATCTGAGGGGTGTTCACGGGCACCGCACACTGCTGCGTGCGCTGTGTGCGGTGCGTCCAGCAGGCGTAGGGGTAGGGGATGGGTAGGCGGTTCTGACGTCACGGCTGCGTGCGGTGGACGGTCCGCTGTGGCCAGTCCCGACCGGCCACAGCGATCGCTGTGTGCGGTGACGGAAGGCTGACGTAGGGACGCAGTGGGCGGAGCTTGGAGGCTGTGTGCGGTCCGACCGCACACAGGGCCCGTGAACAGCCCTCTGATTTTGATTTACGTTTCAATTTTGGAAAAAAAGGCATTCATCCCTAGCCAGCCGGGAAGAGTCACCCTCTGACGATTTTGTCGCGATCGGTTGGAATGCGTTAGCGATAGAGAGCTGAAAGCTGGCATACCTAACCATTAGTTCAAACCGAATCTGGTAAAAATAAACGCATTTTTAGGTCAGGTCAGGTCAGTGAAAGCTGAATGACCTGCACAGGTCAGTGCAAAAAAAAAACATCTGCTGGATCGAATGATGAGCAATATGACCTCCTTCTACGGGAATGAGAGCGCGGACGACTTGGCGAAACAACCGCGCGCCCTGCCCTCAAACGCCCGCTCGCTGACCAGGGCGGTTCATTGTGCGGCCCCGCATCAATGGCGCGACAACTGGACACTGGTCCGAGTCACTATTCAGTATTCAGGCCTTTCCTCGGGAGCACGCCGCCGCTCCCTATCCCCGGAGAGGAGCGAGAGGACGCCGTTTCGGTGCACCACATGAGGGCGGGCCACTCGGGCGCTCGCTTTGTCTCCACTCCGCGGCGTGCCAGCAGTGCCCAGCAAGCGGTGCCCCACGGCACTCTGCGCCATGTGCCGAGAAGATGCTGATGTGACTGAGCACGTACTACTCCGCTGTCCGGCCCTCGCTGGCTCCGGGGCTCCGGGATTTTCTTGGCCCCGGAACTTTCGCCTCCAGCCTTGTTTGATGGCGACGCCACAGTGCTCTAAGCAATGTATTGCCGTTTCCGTGGAAATAATACACTTTTTCAGACACTTAATCATGAGAGAATGCTCTGTCTCAGTTGATATAGGTTTGATCGGCAGATGTGCACATGCGCTTTATGTGAAAGTGGATTAGTTTTGACCCAAATTTTTGGCACCCAATTTTCAGCCCAAATCATGCTGACATTTCAGCGAAAAATCGAATGCACCAAATTTCAGCGCAAGTGGGTCTCACAGACATCCGGCGTAGTGTATGGATGTTTTCCATTCTGATGTGGGAGGAATGATATCAGGGAGAAACACACTGAATTGCAACAAAGGGATGGTCTACCCTTGCTTTGGAAGCTACCTATGGTCTGTTATGCATTTAAAATTTAAATTGTAATGAGTCAGCACTGCCATTCCTGAAAAAGTGTAACAGCACTGTAAAACGGACTATTGGAGTTTTACCAAACAGCACGCATCAGATACCTAGGTAGGTACCTACCTATCTAAGAGACACCATAGCATAGTGAGAGGGGCTAAAATCAACCATGCGACATGTTTGAGATTGTTAAAAGACAGAAAATGGGTACTAACATTTGTGAACAGCGCACAAGCGTGCTGTCGCCTGTCAGTGCAAAAAGAACGAATAAAACGATGGCTTCTTTGGCTTGAAGAGCACACTCTTATTGAAGTTTTGATAAGAGATTGGCAACGTATCCCATCAAAGATACAGCTGAAACTTGGTACGGTACAAACTCGAAAATTCCATGAAAAGCGAGACCGACCGAAGTCAATATTTCAATTTTCAGCACCGTTATATACACAGTTTATTATGAATGCGTATTGGTGTACGTGGCAAGTGATATCCAAAATTATGAAGTAGATTTATAAAAACGTAATAGCTAATGACGTCATAAAAAACAGTGAATCACATTTGCTTGAGCAAATACTTCAAAGAAATATGTCCTTCATTCCATTTCATTCAATGAACATGGCTTCAACTTTTATAAATTTGGTGTTCGTCTGCCTCAATAGCTAACAAAATGCGTTTATCGAAATACTGAAAATCAAAATATTGCTTTTTGCTCTAAAACTTATGATGTATTATTAGCTGAGTTTCAAATGGTATCATCTGCTGCTTTCTGCTGATAAGTTAGTTTGTAACAGCTGCGTGGTTTCTGTCAATAAAATTTATTTTTGTTCTACCCATCAATATTTTGCGTTCACAGACGCGTCTTCAAACGTTTGATTTGTGGGATAGCTCCTAAAATAGGAAAGAACACGATCGACTATCAAAATAAACACTAAAACTTTTGCCGTCGGGATCAATTGGTGGGGCCGTTTATTTATTTGCAGTGACCTGGTGCTACTGATATACTGAGATAGCTTACATTGATAATCTCATTTCTCAAAATATTGGTGGTTCCTGAATTTAAGTCCCGGATTGGCATTGAGGTGATAAATACTATAGGAATAGTGTTGAATTTAAAACTGTTATAGGTGGCAGTCGATCAGCATAGGAAGTTGCATTTTAAATAAATGTTATGTTAAATATTATGTTTATGTTATATTTTATATTTTTATAAAATTCCTTTAGCTCAAATCAAGACACCTCCCCATGGCCCCTGATTGCAATGTCAGTCAGTTTTAACTTACTTACTTACTTACTCAGAAGTACAGAATTTAGATAAGCTGCTTGGCCTTTATGTCCGTTCCTGTCGAGCTGCTTGGTGTGAGTTTTACTGGTACTTTAAATGGAAGGATTGACAGTGCAGGAGCCCACACTAAGCAGCGCAGATTTCAACTCCTACCATCTCATCTACCATGATCTGATTGTACAATTTTGGGTAATGTAAGAATGTATATGTCAAAGATTAATGTGACCCTAAAAACTGGGCACAGTCTGTCCCACTCTACTAACCTCACTGGCTGCGGCTGCTTCCACCAAGCGCAGACCATCCCATCATGGGCCAAATATTTAGTGCTGGAGCGTCTCAAACAAACCCAGGCTCTCGGTCACTACTTCAGCAGGTCCTATGCTCTACCAACTGAGTTACAGAACAGTAGGATTAAGGCATTGGTGTGCAGTAAAAATAGATAAAGAATTACCAATAGAGTATGAACAGTAACCCTGAGTCAGAGTCAGTGAGTCTTCTCGTGTATCATTGAATCCTGCATAATTAGGCATTGGCTTGAGGTACTCGTTAGGGTTCAGGATAATCATTTTCATCAGATTCATTAGAGCATTCATTCCACCCTTCAAAAGGAATGCTAGGTATATGCAATGTAAAATGGCTTCACACACTCAATTTTCCTTTCCATGCCTCATTGATGTTCATTAACAAGTATACCTATCTACTTCAGTTATTACAATACAAATAGACGTACTACAATAATGCTACATATTTCCAGCATGGGCATGGATATATATGTCATATGAGTTTATCATTAGGGTATAAGAGGTCATTAAAGAGGACATGGTTTTAGTTTTGTTGCATTTCATATCCTTGGTGAAATTTTTATTTATGCCTGGCTGATTGCTTGTGTTCTAGGTGGCATTGAACAGTCAGTATGATAAAACAGTAGCACTAGAACTTTGAATCTTTTGCATAGTGCAGCTCAAAGTAATAAGCAGTGGACAAGCCCAAGTAATATCTATACTACTATTTGAACAGGATCCATCTGTCTGTCTGTTTGTCCGCCACGCCGTGTAGTGGGCTCAATTTAGCCGGCCTACAGGGCAGACGGTATATCGTAGGGGGTTGAAATTTGCACACCTTCTAGGTGACAGAGCGGGTCAGCGCCTTTTCTAGGTTTCGGCTCGCTGGGGTGCACGGTTCGCGCGTGGCGGGCGCCGGAAGAACGCCAATGAAATTTTGATCGGTTCGTATATCTTCATTGAGAGCCGGGGTCGACAAACTTTGTGAACTAAATGCATGCCGATCGGTGGCGGGTGCCTCGCATTGGCGGATCGGCAAGTTATTAATTTGAATGAAAAGTGGCGAAAAAATGTGTTAATTTTCGTTCGATGGGAAGAGTTTGTGATATAAGTATAAAAACGCACCGAGTTTGCCGCAAGGCGTCACATTGGTCACAAGGCGTCATTTTTGCCGCAAATCGCACAGTTTTGTCAAACATGGTCCGATATGGGTGCAATTTAGTGCAAAGATGCATGCTCAATTACCGGTTGAAAATGCGCTGTGTTTGCCGCAATGCGCCACATTTGTCACAAAGCGCCATTTCCGACAAATACAACTAAGGGTAATGGAATGGCACGAATAGGGGCAGGGCTGAGAAGTGAGAACACTTTAAGTCTGATATTTTAGTACTGATTGGATCCAATTATTCTGTGACCTGACATGATCCAGCGGTGTTGGTAGGGGTAGGGTAGTGGTAGGAGTAGTGGTAGGGGTAGTGTAGTGGTAGGGGTAGGGGTAGGGGTAGTGGTAGGAGTAGTAGTAGGGGTAGTGGTAGTGGTAGGAGTAGTAGTAGGGGTAGGGGTAGTGGTAGGAGTAGTAGTAGGGGTAGGGGTAGTGGTAGGGGTAGTAGTAGGGGTAGTAGTAGGGGTAGTGGTAGGGGTAGTGGTAGGGGTAGGAGTATGGGTAGTAGTAGTGGTAGAGGTAGGGGTAGATATAGTGGTAGTGGTAGGGGTAGGGGTAGTGGTAGTGGTAGGGGTAGGGGTAGTGGTAGGGGTAGTGGTAGGGGTAGTGGTAGTGGTAGGGGTAGGGGTAGGGGTAGTGGTGGAGGCAAAGGTAGAACAGCGGCCCAGGCTGATCCCATCGGACGAGAGGTGACCTATGTGACCTGGCCTGACCCAAGGTGACCGGGGCTGACCCATTTGACCCGTCTTGACCCCGTATCAGCTAAATTTTATCCAACAAAGCCCTCAGAACAGTTCTTTTTTTTAATTCTCTTCACATTTCCGTCCATATCTATGCTTCTAGACGACACATCGATTTGAATCAAACACCATTCGAAAGCAAATTGGCTGGTGCCGCAATTTTTCTACCACGCAGCAAAGCAAGTGGCGCAGCCGCTTGTCTAACTTACTATTCCAACAGAATCCGTCTGTGAGTCTGTGAGTCTGTGTGTCCGCACATCGTGTAGTGGGTTCAATTAACCTCGCCTACAAGGCAGACGGTATGTCGTAGGAAGTTGAAAGTTGCACACCTTATAGGTGACAGAGCGGGTCAGCGCCTTTTCTAGGTTTCGGCTCGCTGGGGTGCACGGTTCGCGCGTGGGGCGCGCTGGAAGAACGCCAATGAAATTTTGATCGGTTCGTAGATCTTCATTGAGAGCCGGGGTCGACAAACTTTGTGGACTAAATGCATGCCGATCGGTGGCGGGTGCCTCGCATTGGCGGATGGGCAAGTTTTTAATTTGAATGAAAAGTGGCGAGATAATGTATAGATTATAAAAATGCACCGTGAAAGGTGACCAAGTATAAAAATGCACCGTGTTTGCCGCAATGCGTCACATTGGTGACAAGGCGTCATTTTTGCCGCAAATCGCACAGTTTTGTCAAATATGGTCCGATAAGGGTACAATTTGTTGCCAGGATACATGCTCAGCCAACAGGTTCAGATGCGCCGCGTTTGTCGCAATGCGCCACATATGCCACAAAGCGCCATTTCCGACAAATACGATTAAGCGTAATGGAATGGCACGAATAGGGGCAGGGCTGGGAACACTTTAAGTCTGATATTTAAGTACTGATTGGATCCAATTATTCTGTGACCTGACATGACCCGGCGGTGTTGGTAGGGGGGTAGGGGTAGGGGTAGGGGTAGGGGTAGGGGTAGTGGTAGGGGTAGGGGTAGGGGTAGTAGTAGGGGTAGTAGTAGGGGTAGTGGTAGGGGTAGTGGTAGTGGTAGTGGTAGATGTAGTGGTAGGGGTAGGGGTAGGGGTAGTAGTAGGGGTAGTGGTAGGGGTAGTGGTAGGGGTAGTGGTAGAGGTAGGAGTAGTGGTAGGGGTAGGGGTAGGGGTAGTGGTGGAGGCAAAAGTAGAACAGTGGCCCGGGCTGATCCGATCGGACGAGAGGCGACCTATGTGACCTGGCCTGACCTAAAGTGACCGGGGCTGACCCCTTTGGCCCATCTTGACCCCGTATCAGCGAAATTTCATCCAACAAAGCCCCCAGAACAGCTCTTTTTTCTCTTCACATTTCCGTCCATATCTACATATGCTTCTAGCCAACATATCGATTTGAAACGAACACCATTCGAAAGCAAATTGGCTGGTGCCGCAATTTTCTCCTACCACGCAGCAAAGCAAGTGGCGCAGCCGCTTGTCTATACTACTATTTGAACAGGATCCATCTGTCTGTCTGTCCGCACTTGGTCTCCCCAATATATTGCAGTTCGCACCGTCTGCAATATATCCAGGCGCATCATCCTGGATGGGTAGTGGGTTCAATTCCACTCGCCTACAGGGCAGACGGTATATCGTAGGGGGTTGAAATTTGCACACCTTATAGGTGATAGACCGGGTCAGCGCCTTTTCTAGGTTCCGACTCGCTGGGGTGCACGGTTCGCGCGTGGGGCGCGCTGGAAGAACGCCAATGAAATTTTGATCGGTTCGTAGATCTTCATTGAGAGCCGGGGTCGACAAACTTTGGGGACTAAATGCATGCCGATCGGCGGCGAGTACCTCGCATTGGCGGATGGGCAAGTTTTAATTTGAATAAATAGTGGCGAGAAATTGTGTAGATTTTCGTTGAATGGCAACAGTTTGTGATACGAGTTTACAAATGCACCGCGTTTGCCGCAATGCGCCACAATTATCTCAGGGCGTCATTTTCGCCGCAACTCGCACAGTTTTGTCAAATATAGTCCGATATGGGTGTAATTTGGTGTCAAGATGCATGTTCAAACAACAGGTACAGATGCGCCGCATTTGCCGCAATGCGCCACATTTGCCACAAAGCGCCATTTCCGACAAAATCGAGTAAGGGCAATGGAATGGCACGAATTATTCTGTGACCTGACATGACCCAGCGGTGTTGGTAGGAGTAGGGGTAGGGGTAGTGGTAGGGGTAGTGGTAGGGGTAGTGTAGTGGTAAGGGTAGTGGTAGGGGTAGTGGTAGGGGTAGTGGTAGGGGTAGTGGTATGGGTAGTAGTAGTGGTAGGGGTAGATGTAGTGGTAGGGGTAGGGGTAGTGGTAGGGGTAGTGGTAGGGGTAGTGGTAGGGGTAGTGGTAGGGGACAGGGGTAGGGGTAGGGGTAGGGGTAGTGGTAGGGTAGGGGTAGTGGTAGGGGTAGTGGTAGGGGTAGGGGTAGTGGTGGAGACAAAAGCAGAACAGTGGCCCGGGCTGATCCCAGCGGACGAGAGGTGACCTATGTGACCTGGCCTGACCCAAAGTGACCGGGGCTGACCCCTTTGACCCGTCTTGACCCCGTATCACCCAAATTTCATCCACCAACGCCCTCAGAACAGTTCTTTTTTAAATTCTCTTCA